TAAAGGAAACAAGTTGAATCTACATGGTAATTTTAGATCTATGCGGAAGAGTTCTCATGTGTAAGAACAAAAAGAGAGAGATCAACCGAAAACTATCGTGGATTACCTATACATATGCATCTAAATCAAGCTTATCGTTCCAGTTTTCTTCAAGATGCCCCATAGAAAAAATTAGTAATTAAATCGAAACAATGCTAGCTCTCATAGATAATCCATTAGAGTCTGCTAACCACATTCATAATTTTTGAGTCACTCCTTAAACAAAAATGAACAATTACTGAAACGTTACAACCTTTTCAGTGATGTCAGCTAAATGCAGAAGAGAAACCTGAAATAAAGCAATAAGTGTTAACCACCGATTCATTAAACCTGAATATTTTCTGCAGCACAAAGATTTACAGAAGTGCACATATGGCATTAAGAGATTCCTTAGGATCATGATTATCTCTATTGAGAACATCTTTATGTAAACTTTAAAACATAAGTTGTTAGGAATATTATTGAGAATACCTAAAGACTATGAAAATGAAAAGCTAGATACTCATCATTTGGAGAAAAAAAGAGATATGACAGGATGTATGACATTAAATTAGGCGAAAAAAACATAGTTTGCATACAATTGGTATGCAGACAATAAATATAGTAGAATATGGGAATGCAAAGCAGAAACTTATAAACCTATAAGTAGTGAAGTATAAACCTAGAGTGAGGGGATGAATACCAACCTTACTGACTCACTCTACGATAAAAGGCCATGCTGTCAAGGTATAAATATATTAAATACAAGCAACTTCACCTAAGCAGAAATCAGGATAAACAACAAGCATACAATTAATTAAAGATGATATAACAGTATTAAAATATAAGATAAACATCATGAAAGCACCGAATCAGTAAGCAGTGCTCTAGGCCAATTCATAAATTTGTGAGACCACCCATTCATCAATAGCCTCAGATGTAGGACGAAGTGCCATGATATGTATTCCCAAGAATTATTTGACAGCCAATCTCCTCAAGCTGATTAGTGTCAAACCCCTTATGCCTTGACCAGGAAGACCAAATGATGAAGATACATATGATGTTATAAGTCTGGTGTTCTTTGGCATACTTCTTACAATATGTAAATGACAGCAATGAGAAAGATTTCTAAAACTTTATTTTCATAGAAATGTATTTCCATTTAAGATACATATCCTCTCTTCTTTAGACTAAACTAAAATAATGATGATAAAGTTCCAAGAACAATATTCTCGAGTAATAGAGACATATGCTGACTTATAAATGATAAATGAAACTCTAACTGTGTTCCCCACAGGCATAAACAGAGGGGTTTGGCAAACAAAATGAGGGAGAGTCAATTGAGCTGCACGGGCACGATTAAACCTTCCCAGAACCTAAAACGAAAAAGTCAAAAAAATTCCAAAAATCAGCAACAAAATAAAAACAATTAACCACAACAAAACAATCGCGCCTCAGTTCAAATTGTGAGCAATGAAGGTGTGTACAAAAAATAAGAGAAGGAGGAAAACATTTCTCACCATAAAAATAAATTATTTCCTCCCAAATATCATCTATCAACAAATGATCATGGCTTAATTACATTATCTATCCAGAAAAATAGAAAACAAACTTGATGATATTACATTAATTTTGACAATCTGAATATCTCCTAGAGTTTTGTCACATGACCATGCTAACATTCACAAAAAGCACGAGAGTGAAATTAAAATCATATAATGCTAGAGAATGAGTAGAGCAACCAGAACAAACTTCCATTCGGATAATGCATATATCTGGCTTCCTCTCATTTTCCCATAACAATAATTGTCAACAATGCCATATCCACACAAACGTTCTTAATATGAACTACTTGTGTTTGTATATGCGTGTCATCTAGTAAAAAAAAAGAAAAAGGGAACAGCAAAAATTCACGCTCTACCTCAAAACTAAGAGCCATTACAAAGTTCTGTTTCCACAGTCTATGCGTAAATCCTGTCATAAAGATGAAAGCGCACTAAGTTAAGGTGTCAGAGATTAATAACCAAACCAAAAATAAAAAATAAAATAAAAGAATACAGATGAGGATTGATAAGAACATACAGAAAAGCAGAGAAAGGACTGTATTAGGATACCGGAGGGAAGAAGAAGCTGCAAAGAGGAAAAGAATATGGAGACACCAAGTCTTGGTCTCCTTTGGAGGCTGTGTAGTGCGTTGTGTTATTGTGTAGCTCTGGGCGCCGGCACGCAGTTTTTGTTCTTCCTATCCGCGCTTTCGAACCTGCAAACTTAACTTGGGCTTCTTACATGTGAATCAAGCCCTCTGTTGGCCACTGTAGTAAATTGGGTTTTTACATATGGGTCAGCCCACTCTGGTGCTTCCCCTAAAGTTACCTTAACCCGACTTGGCGTGTTTACTTGATAGTACTGTTACTGAGAGGTTCAGAGAATACTTATCTATGATATATTTAGGAGTGTTCGGTTCCCAATACTCTGTATTTTTTAAGGAACCAAAATCGACAGTTATTTAAAATTTAAAATCGGAATCCAAACACGAAGCCAATAGTTTCAGTCTAGGTACCTAGAACCAAACCTGTAACAATAGTTTCGGTTTTGATTCTGGGTACCCTGTAAAATTCGTGACTCTCAAAAGTTTTTAAAATAGCAAAAAAACCCATAAAAACTTACAATAACACCCCACTTGGAACTTGTTAACAAAAATAAAATACAAATAATAAATTAAAATTAAAAACTCTATTACTTTGTAAAGATAGGTTCTCAGAAGTCAAATCAACTTATTTTAAATGTATGAAATATAAATATAAATGTATACATCACTTTTTCTACAAAAGTTTTTATAACCCCCCTACTCTTTATTTTATTTTATATTAGTCTTGGTTCCCGGTTTGGTTTCGGTTCCTAACTATAGAAACTGGAATTGGAATCGCACAGTAACGGTTCCAAAAATTTGGAATCGAAACCTACCCATTGATGACGGTTGGTAGGAACCGAAACCAAACCCCAAGTACCCGTCGATTCTAGTTTCAATCGGTTCTTTTGAAACACCCTAGAATATTGAAACTAAGAGATTACGTATGGTAATTAAGACAGTAATTAATTTTATTTCTAAATTATGACAAAATAATTTTCGTAGAGAAAAAAAAAAAAAAAAAAAAAAAAAAGGATAAAATTGGTGGATCTGGGTCATCTACTGATCTAAGTGAGGGTTTGTAACTCTTACGGTTCAACTACTGCGAGAACAAGGAAGTCGTAATGAAATGGTCAGGCCTGTGGCTGAGGGTGTAATAATACATATATACAGTCATGCATGCAATTCACCATTTATAGTTCTTCATTACTAGATCTCGAAGCTGATTTAAACCCTAACCACTGTACCGATATCAGGCTTCTCGACTCTACTTTTGCTCTTTCAGGTTTGATCCATCTCTCCACTCGAATTATCTTCAACATATTATGTCATCTAATTTTGGTAAAATTTATTTTGTTAGAATCCTTCCTTCTCAATTCATAGAAATGTCGAATTAGTGCTTTTTTTAATCTTAAATTTGACTTAAACGTTGAAACGCTCGTAGTTACTGTTGGAGTTGTCTCGAAAACAGCAACTTATTAGTTACAATGGTTAGTGATCTATGCGCAGGGAGTGGATCAACTGATTGGTGAAAATGCAGCGCATTCCAAATACAATTGAGGAACAGTTGATTTTGAAAGCTATCAATGAAGAATGTCGTGGGAGAATCTCCCAAAAAGACTTCAAGCCACTCTTACTTCTAAAGAAGAGTGGCACAGAAGGTTAGAAGTGGCTTTTACTTGTTTGTTTCATTTCATTAGCATAGTACTTGATCTTAGAAAGTCAAATTGAGTTTTTTAATGCATGTTTCATTGTAAGTCAGCTCCGGATAGCTGAAACAATTTAAAACTCTTGATGAAGCTTTATTTATCGTTGACATTGCTGCTTTCCTAATTTTTGAACATCATGCAGGATCATTGAACATTGCATTAAGAAGAGACTCCGTGGAATAAGTGTTTGCTCGCAAAGTATGCAAAGAAGGTGAATATTATGAAGACAGATGCGTTACTACGAAAAAAACCCTGGCGGTGCGTGTAATGCATAAATTGAGTGGGAAATCTCAAAGTTTATTATAGGGGTAAAATTTAAATAAATATAATATAAATATAAAATCCGAAATTTTAAAAAAATTGAGTGGACGTCATTCATTAAATGCGCCCCTGCCACAACCCCCATCCCCCTCCGGCCATCCCCATGCCCATACTCCATCTGTAACGAGGGCCGTCTCACTCACCCTCTCTTACCCAAATCGTAGATATTTCTCCATCCACACTTGTAGAAAATGACCTCCCAACCCTACACACTACTTATCTCATGGCGTCATTAGACCCATTTGTAGAAATTGCATGTGTAAAATATGGATTTGTTAATCACAAAGGAGGATACAGAAATTGTTTGGGATTGAGTCGTTGGCCTGAGTATTCTATGCTTATCCCTTGAGAAAAACCAAGGCACTTTAGATATATTTCCAAATGTGATACGCTGAACCTGCCTGACAAAATTACAGGATCTTATATTAATCCAGAATTTCAGCGCAGAGAATCTAGTAACATTTTGAAACATATTCAAAAAAACATACATTTGACTTCGATGTAAGCAGAAATAACAGCATCACTGAGTTTTAATGTTAATGAGACTAGCAGTTGCAATCTACCTTTGATCTAATGTATGACCACACCAATGTAGCATATTAGTTTTATCCGACTAACCATACAATCTCAACAAGTTTCTGTAAATTGTTTCCATTATAGGACGTTCTTAAACAATCATAATTGACAAATAACTGACAACGGTCACATTTTAGAACAAGAAGAGAAGCATGGAAACTACCAAGTGACTCTATAGTTTCAAGTCACAGAGTCATTTGCTAATTGAATACATTGCAGAGGAATACAGCAGTTGGAAAAGGTCAGACGCCCTTTCTCGCTTTATTAAACTATATTCCTGATTCAGCAGTCTCAGCTGCTTTGACTTCCATCAGGCACTGTGACAATGTGGCTTGAGCTGCATGCACGAAGAGCAATTCGTATCAACCATACATGAAAAGACTTCATCAAAGTAAATATTCAATAGCTAATTAACATGAGAGCTCAAATCTTTTGCCGGAAACAAAAATAGCCATTTCTAAAGGTAGCAGTGTCAAATATGCAACTACCTTTTCTAGGCCATTCTTAGAATAGAGGTCCATTCAGAACTAGGTCAGATTTAGATGTCCAATTATCCTTTCAAAAATAGGTAATGTTAGTCATATTAGATCCTCCCTCAGAAACCTAATCAAGAGAGAGGCAGGTAATTGCTCCACGTGTGCGGATTGGAGTTCCCTAATAAACACAGCAACTAATTTGCAGACTGCATATGTGTGGAGGAGGATGCCTTTGGTTGTTGATAATGCTCAAAGTTCAAGAAAATGAAGTCTAGGAGTTGAACTGATGGCACAAAAATCCTATTTGACAGCTGAGACAGAACAATCATTGGCACCATCTTTTAAGGAATCCAGGGGAGGGAAAATCCCTAGTGTGTTCATGCGATCAGAAGTCCAAACCCTCAATACTGGCGTCACAAAGATTCCATACCTAATTCAAAACTTGAGGTAAACCTCATGTGTGAGACATGAACTCTTGATTACAAAACACAAGCTTTAACGAAATTGAACCCTAACGCTATGAACTACTGAAGAAAACTAACACCATCCTTTGCAAAGTATTTCTTGCTCTAAAACTAAATTGAAGGTACAAGGCCTATGGCAAAGCTCATGCTCAGCATCTCAACCCTAAGACAACATAAAAAAAATTGAGGAAGGTTTTAAAATTCTTGTAGGCAAATAGACAATGAAGAGGATAACAATCCCTAAATCTTGTATGAAAACTTATAATGAAACATCGATAATTCCCAACAACAACCGATATTTGCACCTAACGCATACAAATCTAATGAACAGGAAAATAAATAAAAGAAAGAAATAGAATAGAATCTCACATCGAAGTCAGTCAAATCAGGAACCAAAAGTTGGGCGTTTCACTTGCACCACAACGTACCACCTGCATTAATTGTCCAGTTAAATCAAAGCAGACGAAAACTATAAACGCGGTGAGCATGTAAAATTATAAGTTTTCATGAATTCTAATAACTTTTCAGTACATTTCATTGAACTCAAACAATTATCATCACTCTTCTAAATCCCTGGATTATCAAACAAACACATTTAAGCTGGAATGGAGAAATTGCAAATGGAAGTAAAAACAATCGAACCTTTGCGAGTATGGAAACCAGTTGGCTCGCAATTCTTTCCCTTGTAATAATCTCGCGGGCCGCGTTTCGACGAGCGAATGTCAAGTGATGATGTACTTTTCCTTCGCATTGCTCTCCCTATCCCTAATATAAGTCCCAAAGCCATTTTCTCCCCCCCTATTCACCCAAATCAACCGCTTTAATTAGCTTATATCAAATCAAAATCAATTTCGTATCAATCTTTCAACAGCTAAAATGAAACTAATCTATATGAAAATAGCACAGAGATCATTAGTTAATTACTGCTTGCAAGCTTTGGCCCAGCAGCGAGGCCAAACTAACTATAGAGATGAAAGCGCACTAAGTTACGGTGTCAGAGATTAATAACCAAACCAAAAAAATAAAAAATAAAATAAAAAGGATACAGATAGAGGATTGATATAGAACATACAGAAAAGCAGAGAAAGGACTGTACTTAGGATACCGGAGGGAAGAAGAAGCTGCAAACAGGAAAAGAATATGGAGACACCAAGTCTTGGTCTCCTTTGGAGGCTGTGTAGTGTGCTGTGTGGCTCTGGGCGCCGGCACGCGGTCTTTTTGTTCTTTCCTATCCGCGCTTTCGAACCTCCAAACTTAACATGGGCTTCTTACATATGGATCAAGCCCACTCTGGTGCTTCCACTGAAGTAAATTGGGCTTTTATATATGGGTCAAGCCCACTCTGGTGCTTCCACTAAAGTACACCTTAGCCCGACTTGTCGGTTGTTACTTGGTAGTACTTGTTGCTGAGTACTGACAGAGGTTCAGAGAATATCTATCTATGATATATTGAAACGAAGAGATTACAAATGGTAATTAAGACAGTAATTAATTTTATTTATAAATTATGATAAAAGAATTGTCATAGAGATATAAAATAAAATTAAAAAAAAGTAAAATTGGTGGATCTGGGTCATCTAAGTGACGGGTTTGGTAACTCTTATGGGTCCAACTACTGCGAGAACAATGAAGTAAGTAATGAAATGGTCCATTTATAGTTCTTCATCTACTAGATCTCGTAGCTGATTTAAACCCTAACCACTGTACCGATATCAGGCTTCTCGATCTACTCTTTTGCTCTTTCAGGTTTGATCCACTCTCTCCACTCGAATCTATTCTTCAACATTATTATGTCATCTAATTTTTGATAAAATTTATTTTGTTAGAGTCCTCTCTTTCTCAATTCTATAGAAATTGTCGAATTAGTNTTAAATTTTAAAAGATAAATAAAAATATCATGAGTTACTGTTACTTTCCCTTTCTTCCTTACTCTGGTGTTAGACTGAAAAATGCTTTGGAAGTATTTTTATTTTTTAAACTTTATTTTAAATTGTCCTAAGGCAATAGCCTAGTTGGCAACACTTATTGCTTTGGAGCAAGAAGTCAAGGGATTATTCCTTTAATCCTCAACACCAGCCTTGATGGAGATTTAATAAAATTTATTTTTGTGCTTGAGTTTAGGTGGGTGGAGTTTTTTAATTTTTATTGTTTTTAACTAGTATGATGAAATGACAGGACAGGTTTAATAATAAACTAAGAGGAGTTTGTTTTTTAGCTCTGCTTTTGCAATTTGACTTCAGAGGTTAAATTTTAATATTTATGATGATTCAGTTTCCAGGCTTGAAGGGTTTGTTTCCAACAGGGAGCAGTCTTATGAGGACCCCATTGAGGAGTAAGGGAGATATTTCAGTACATGATATTATTCATCATTGGAATATTGTTAACTTAATTTTAAACTAAGATCCCACTACTATTAAATGCATTATTCAGGTTACTGTATGCAGTTTTTGTTGTTTCAAGCGAGAATGCCACTGTTGCTGAACTGGCAACAACATTACAGGCTGATCTTTCTCAGCTGCAAGCCGCTGCATCTTTTGCATGCCGATTGGGATGGGCAGTAAAGGTAATTGACCCAGCATCCATTCTTCAGGATACAAGTGTACCTAACACTCCAAGAGTCACTCTCAGTGATGATGATGAGGCTTCTCTTGCTAGTATGGGCGCAGCAAGCATTTCTGCTGATGGTGATATTGGTCAACAAGGAGATGTTACAGGAACGGAAAGCTATGGACCACTTTCTGGCCTTGTCCGCGTAGCTTTTGTTGTTGATGCTAATATAACATCATATCTTATGATGGGTTCTGTTTCACCAGGTTTTTCTCCTTCCTTTTCTGTTCCTTTTTACTTTCAAATGTCAGATTTCTACATTTTCCTGTTGTGAATATGTGTTGTACTGTTTTCTACTTTACAGTGTCAGCTATTGATGTAATATAGAATGTGGTACCTTCCAGCCACTCGGCTGAAATCTAAAGCTTTAGGATTCATGATTCATGATACATGAGGAAATAGATATGGGTTAAGAGTCTTTTAATATACTATTGTTTGTATTTGAATGAGCAGACAGAGAGGTATTTTTCTCTGAGCTAAGAATCACTTGATTAGCCAATCTTCTCTCTTGGATATGTTATTATGAAAGAGGAGTGTTAAGTGGATAAAGTTCCCCACTGGAAAGGATAAAATAACCAGAAGGTCTAGCAGCTACTCTTGAAAAAGGCGTTTATATCCATTCTTCTGGGAGCTCTCTTGATGGTTCTCTTAGATTTTCTTTCATATTTGGTTTCACACTGTTGGAAACCTCCTGCGATCCAGAGTTTCACAGCCAACAACACATACACAGAACAAACAATATGCACAAATAATAGGCAATAACAGATTATATTGATGGATACTGAGTAAACATGAAACAGAACAAATGAAATGACAGATAGTTCCCAACAATTCGAGGAGCTGGGGACCTCCCAAACAATTCCAGAATATATTACTTGATACCCTACTCTCCCACACTCTCTCCCTTTTATAAGCTAATTCTTCCATTCTGTAACCCTTTTGACAGCCACGTGTCTAACCTCCTAACAAACTCATCAATCCTAACAACCCTTATTGCACACCTCACCATCTTGTAACAAACACGCACTTAACGTGTCCCTTTATCCCTGTTCCTTCCCTTGCCCTTGGATTTATAGACCTTATGTATGGGAGGTCTAACAATACCCGCCCCCTCGAAGTGCCACATTGTCCTCAAGGTGAAATTGAGGAAATTGGCCATTGATGACATCAAAGGACTCCCACGTGGCATTGAAAATAGGCAGATCGTGCCAGCGAATGAGAACCTCAGTGGAGCCATCTATAAGAGACCTCACATCCATTACCTTGGCAGGCTCAACCTACAGTTCCAGGTCATCGGTGAGACAGGAAGGCAGAGGCTGTACTGAAACTGAGCTATGCAAGCTGTGCTTCAACTGGGATACGTGAAAAATAGGGTGAATTACGGGTTGCTGGGGCAGTTCTAACTTGTATGCTACTTGGCCGATTTTCTCCGAGACCCGGAAAGGCCCATAAAATCTAGGACTCAGTTTCTCATTCAACCGTGTGGCCAGAGATTTAAATTTGTAAGGCTGTAGTCGAAGATACACATACTCTCTTGGAGAAAATTGAACTTCCCGTCGATGACGATCTGCTTGTGTTTTCATGTGAACTTGTGCTGCTTCCAAGTTGTGTTTAAGGTCCTGAAGGATGGCATTTCGCTCACGGATCTGATGGTTGACTTCATCGACCTGAGAAGGGTAGTCTGTGAACTTTAGGAGAATCGAGGGGTCACGGCCGTACAAGGCTTTGAAAGGTGTCATCTTGGTGGATCGATGATATGTTGTGTTGTACCAAAATTCAGCCCATGGCAGCCAATTCGGCCATTGACGGGGTTGTGAGCTACAAAAGCAACGAAGGTATGCCTCCAAGCACCTGTTTACCACTTCGGATTGGTCATCCGTTTGTGGATGGTAAGCGGAACTAAATTTCAAAGCTGTTCCGGATACCCTGAAAATCTCTTGCCAAAAATGACTCATGAAAAGTCTGTCTCTGTCGGCAATGATGGATTGAGGGAACCCGTGAAGCTTCACTATCTCTTTTATGAATATTAAGGCCACCTCCTTGGCGGTATAAGGGTGCGACAAGAGCAGAAAATGGCCATATTTAGTTAATCGGTCCACTACAACAAGAATGGTGTCGAACCCCTTGGCCCTTGGAAGTCCTTCAATGAAGTCCATTGTCAAGTCTTCGAATGTCTGAGTTGGTATAGGAAGTGGCCGAAGTAGTCCAGCCGACTTCAAGGCTGAATGTTTATTAACTTGACATATGGTGCAGGTTTGAACAAAGTTCTGGATATCTTTCTTCATGCCTACCCAATAAACTACATTGGCTACCCTTTTATACCTCCTGAAGAAACCGAAATGACCACCAGTTGGGCTGGAGTGAAATTCGGCTAATAATTTCTAAATGAATCGAGAACCTTTGGGTAGAACCAACCTGTCCTTATACAGCAAGCAGCCATGGCGAAGTTTGTAGTGTGGTCTGCTGTTGGGTGCCAAAACCAAATCTTGAATCAGCTGTCGAAGCTTGGGGTCCTGATGGGCCTCAGTTGCCATATCCTCATACTCCGTAAACTGTCTCACTGTCAAAGATGATAATTCTGGTTCCTCTTCTCGCCGAGATAAAGCATCAACGACCGTATTAGTGGTTCCCGGCTAATAGTGAATATCAAACGAAAACCCCATTAATTTGGACACCCATTTCTGCTGTTCCGGGGTTTTAATCCGCTGATCCTTGAGGAATTGGAGGTTTCGCTGGTCTGTTCGAATGATGAACTTCCTACCCAATAAGTACGGACTCCATTTGTGTACCGCGAACGCAACAGCCATTAACTCTCTCTCATACACTGATTTTTGTTTAGCTTGAGGGGAGAAGGCCTTACTTAAACAAGCAATGGGTCGTCTTTTCTGAACTAATACAGCCCCCATACCTTGGCCTGATGCGTCTGTGTGAATCTCGAATGGAGAGTTGAAATCCGGAGCTGCCAAAACAGGGACTGAAGTCATGGCTTCTTTTAGGGCATGAAAGGCCTGTTGCGCCTCTTGGTCCTAACTAAAAGAATTTTTCTTCAATAGTCTTGTGAGTGGCTGGGCTATGCTGCCGTACCCCTTTACAAACTTGCGATAGTACCCCGTTAATCCCAAAAAACCGCGAAGACTCTTCACATTAGTGGGTGTGGGCCAAGAAACCATAGCAGCAATTTTCTGCGGATCGGCCTCAACCCCATTGGCCGAAATTAGATGCCCCAGATATTCCAGCCTCTGCTGCCCGAATAAACATTTTTTAAAATTCCCAACCAATTCGTTGTCGTCCAGAATCATAAGAGCTTGCTGTAGGTGGCTGATGTGGGATTCCAAGTCGAGACTGTAAATCAGAATATTGTCAAAAAAAACAAGCATAAACTTATGTAGAACTGGTTTAAAAATGCTGTTCATCAAAGACTGAAATGTCGAGGGGGCATTGCTCAAGCCAAACGGCATAACCAAGAACTCGTAATGCCCGTCATGTGTTCGAAAGGCTATTTTGGGGACGTCTTCATCCTTTATTCTGATCTGATGGTATCCGAACCGAAGATTGAGTTTAGAGAAGATAGTAGCCCCGGCCAATTCATCCAACAGCTCTTCGATGGTAGGGATTGGAAATTTGTCGGGAATTGTTATGTCGTTGAGGGCCCCTGTAATCGACGCAAAATCTCCTATTTCCATCGTTTTTCTTGACTAACAATATCGGGCTGGCAAACGGACTGGTACTAGTCTGGATAATACGGGCAGCTAGCATTTCTTCCACTAATTTTTCAATTCATTTTTTTGAAAATAAGGATACCTATAGGGTCGGATGTTAGGGGCTGGTGCGCCTTCTTTAAGGTTTATGGCGTGGTCATGGGTACGGTGCGGAGGGAGTTTGGAAGGTTGGTAAAAAAGGTGTTGATACTGATCTAGTATTGCCTGAATTTGTGGACTGATTTTTTGCCCTGGATTCATGAATTTATCCTCCAGCGAGCAACATTCCACCAGGAATCCTCCCCCGTTGTTGTTGATGGTCCGTAACATTGATTTCAGTGAGATAACTGACTTCACCAGAGAAGGGTCCCCTTGTAAATTGACTCTGCCTCCATCCAGCTCAAAGCTCATAGTCAACTTTTTCCAGTTAGCACAAACATCCCCTAATGAACTCAACCAAGTGATACCCAGAACAATGTCAGCTCCCCCGAGCTCAAAGGGAAAGAAATCTTGCCTGATTTTAATCCCTTGCACATCCAGAGTGACCTGTCGACACATCGCTTCTCCTTTCACAGTGACTTCGTTTCCCACCATCACCCCAAACATTTTCCCTTTTTCTACTGCAATACCAAGCCTCTCGACCAACTCCAGAGAAATGAAATTATGTGACGCGCCACTGTCTACCAACACCACTACGTCTAAACCCTTAATCTGACCCTTTACCTTCAATGTTTTGTCTGACGTTATGCCCACGATGGAGTTCATGGATAGAGCTAAGTCGTTTCCCTCTTGGTTGTGATTTTCGTCAACTTCCGATGGAGTTTCACTCTTCTCAGATTCATCTTCATCCAACACCAACAAGATCTGCAATGATTTGCTCCGACAGCGGTGATTGGGGCCAAACTTTTCGTCACATCGGAAGCAAAGCCCTCTTTCTCTCTTGTATTGGATATCAGCTTCGGACAAACGTCGGAAGGTTCCTCCTGATCCCCCTAGGAAACTTGCGCTTGCATTTTCCGGTGTCCTCTCTTTCTTAGCGGATGTGCGCGAAGACGCAATCTAGCTTGGATCTGGTGGTTTTGATGAGTCGGGCCACTAGGTCGGGTCGGGTCGGTGTCGGTGCTGGGTTGAACCACCATGTGGGCCGATTTGGTTCTGGGCTACTAGAAGCCCTTGAGTAGCTCTCCCTGGAACCCTGGGCTTTGAATGTTTTGGGCCGACACTTATCCATGACCCAGTTTTTTTCCTCTACGCGATGGGCCTGCTCAATTACTTCTTGCAAGGAGCTGGGCCTTAACACTCTCAACTCAACCCTTATTTCCTCTCTAAGCCCATTAATAAAGACTCCCATCAATATCTCTTCACCTAAGTCCTTCAACGACGCCGTATGGGATTCAAAATCCTCTCTATATTCAGTCATGGTGGAGTGTTGTTTCAGCGCCACCAGTGCCTCATGCGTAGAACCTTGGAAGGATGGCCGGAATCTGGCGATTAGAGCAGCCTTGAACTCATCCCACGATTTGAAAGGTTCTCTCCCTTCCATCCACTGGTACCAGTTCAATGCCCTACCCTCCATGCAAACTGCTGCGGCCTCAACCATCTCCGACGACCCAAATTTGTTGATAGTGAAGTAGCGATCGGCGCGAAAAGTCCATCCAAAGGGGTCTTCTCCACTGAAAATCAGAAGTTCCAGTTTTCAGCCTTTCTTCTCTTCTTTCCCATTTTCCCTGCTTGTTTCTTATCCCTGGTCTCAGTCATTCCCAGATTCTGTATTCTCGGAATTTGAGGGAGACTTTTCTTTTTCGTGGTATCGTTTCTCATCCCTATCCGCTCTTAATCTCATCAATTCCCTCGTCTCAGTCAAGTACTCCTTGAGGCTTCCCACATCTGTTTTTACTGAACTCATATCCTCTTGCACAGACTTCATCTCCTTTTCCATATTTTCCATCCTACCTTCCATCTTCGATTTGACCATTCCTCGTGTGAGACCTTTTGTGTGTTGTCTTTCTTTCTAGCTCTGATACCAATCTGTTGGGAACCTCCTGCAATGCAGAGTTTCACAGCCAACAACACATACACAGAACAAACAATATGCACAAATAATAGGCAATAGCAGATTATATTGATGGATACTGAGTAAACATGAAACAGAACAAATGAAATGACAGATAGTTCCCAGCAGTTCGAGGAGCTGGGGACCTTCCAAACAATTCCAGAATATATTACTTGACACCCTACTCTCCCACACTCTCTCCCTTTTATAAGCTAATTCTTCCATTCTGTAACCCTTTTGACAGCCATGTGTCTAACCTCCTAACAAACTCATCAATCCTAACAACCCTTATTGCACACCTCACCATCTTGTAACAAACACACACTTAACGTGTCCCTTTATCCCTATTCCTTTCCCTGCCCTTGGATTTATAGACCTTATGTATGGGGGGTCTAACAACCTCTTGAAGCAAGAGGATCCAAGAGTCAATCCAGGGTCAAGCTGGTCCACCAGTCCATTTGTACCTGGCAGTAGTTAAAAAGGAGTCTAGTCGTATTTTATCTAATTTTTTAGCTTTATCTCATTGGCCTTGTGTTGGTGTGTATTCTATCAGCCATTTTAGCCATTTCACCGCAAACAGTCGTGTGACTAGAATGTGAGATTTTAATGACTTCAGAGAGTTAATATAGAACGTATAAGTGTAAACAAGAGCTGTAACTCTGGGTTTGTTATATACTTGGTATAAATTGTATGTTATGAACCTTTAATATTAAGTTACCTAACAACCTAAGAGCTTAAGCTGGTACTGAACAATAGTGTTTAAGCTCTTTAACATTTCAGCTTATGTGCAAGTCATGTGGTTCTTTATCCACTTCATCTGAACCTATGTTGTTTATGCATGTGTATCTCTATTTTATTGTCTGAATAGTTTGTTATGTCCATTTTACCTTTTCAGGCTTGAAATCTCATGCGGTAACATTATACGAAGCTGGAAAATTAGGTCATGGTAGCATTGCAGATCTGTGCAAGGATCTCAGTACGTTAGAGGGAACAAAATTTGAGGGTGAATTGCAAGAATTTGCAAATCATGCATTCAGCCTTCGTTGTGTCTTGGAATGCCTTCTGTCAGGTGGAGTTTCCACTGATGCCAGAACAGAGGAAAATTGTGACAAGATGGGCCTGTTAACTTCAAACACTGATGAGGCTACTGCTCTAATAGCTGATTTCACATTGACTGACAAATCAGAATACCTTGGTAGAAATGAAGCTGGACTCAGTATTGATAATTCCATAAATTCTAGGCCTCATGATGAATCTGGTTTGGATGATTCTGTTCCTGGAGGAACTGGTGATGAGATATCTTCAGCTACTTTATCAGAAGACAATAGTTCATTAAGTGAAGTCTCTAAATCCGACCCAACTTTCCAGAGTGATGAGAAGCTGATACCCATTGAAGAGTCTGATGTTGGAAAAGAAGCCTCAAGAAAGAAAAAGAAATATCGAGTGGATATTTTGCGATGTGAAAGCCTGGCTTCTCTGGCCCCAGCAACTTTAGATCGCTTGTTTCTTCGTGACTATGATATTGTTGTGTCCATGATTCCTCTTCCTCATTCATCTGTTTTTCCTGGACCAAGAGGTCCTATTCATTTTGGTCCCCCCTCTCATTCATCTATGACACCATGGATGAAATTGGTACTCTATTCAACTGTGGCTAGTGGCCCTGTATCTGTTGTTCTCATGAAAGGACAATGTCTACGCATGCTTCCTGCCCCATTGGCTGGTTGTGAGAAAGCCCTTATATGGTCGTGGGATGGTTCTACAATTGGAGGGTTGGGAGGCAAGTTTGAAGGAAATTTAGTGAAGGGAGGTATACTCTTACACTGTTTAAACTCTCTTCTCAAGTATTCAGCTGTCATAGTGCAGCCCCTAAGTAGGTATGACCTTGATGATTCTGGAAGAGTTGTTACTGTGGATGTACCATTGCCCCTGAAGAACTCGGATGGTTCAATTGGTCATATAGGAAATGAATTGGGACTTGGTGAAGAGGAAAGTTTGAAACTGAATACTCTGTTAACTGATTTGGCAAATATGATAGAATTGTGGACGGTTGGTTATATTCGCCTATTAAAACTTTTCAAAGAAAGAGAATCAGACCACTTTTCACCTGATGATGAGAAGTATGATTGGGTCCCATTAAGTGTGGAATTTGGGATTCCGCTTTTTAGTCCAAAATTATGCAACAATATTTGCAAAAGGGTTGTGTCATCACAATTACTTCAGGCAGATTCTCTCACTGAGCATCATGATGCAATGCAAGGCCTTAGGAAAAGGTTACGTGATGTTTGTGCTGAATACCAGGCAACAGGTCCTGCCGCAAAACTTCTATACCAGAAAGAGCAATCAAAGGATTCATCTCAACAACTTATGAACTATGCTAGTGGAAGATGGAATCCACTTGTAGACCCTTCTTCTCCAATCTCTGGAGCCACGAGCGAGTATCAGAGATTAAAACTTGCTAGTCGACAGCGTTGTCGGACTGAAGTCTTGAGCTTTGATGGTAGCATTTTGAGGTGTGTCTTAATTAATATGCTATATTTTTTCTTTTGTAGGTGGCTTCCTTCAACATATTGTTTTTCTTTTCCAAATATCAGTGCTTCCCCATAAAATACTTGTTCTATAAACTCTTGATTATGATACTTCTTTCCATGGATTATACTATATAACCATCAGTTGGTCATTGAGCACTAGCTAGAACTTTCTGGTGGACTGAGGGAGTTTCTGTGTAAATTATACTTAATCACCTCACCTCCTACCTTCATTGACCCAAGTTTCAACTCAGTGACATGAACACCCTCCTATAAAAACTTTCTTGATTTGGGATTCTTTTGGCTTAGTACTGGATTTTCAAATATTAAGTCTTATGCAATATTGTCAAAAGATGCGTAAGATGGTCATATAGGCATCTACTTCTGAAAAAAATTCTGCTCTAATGATGTGTGATTAATTAGGAATTTTTGGGAGAGTTGATTATATAATATGAAAGTGGGAGTTCCAAACTGAAATGTCAGTCAAACTAGGTGGGGCCAGAGCTGAAAAACTTCTTTATGTTTACATCTATATTATTTCAGTAATATATGTTTCTGTTGTGACGTGCTTTCAGAAACTGAAATTCTTAAGACTACACATTTTTTTTCTTTTTAAAGCACTGCTGAACCATTATTATTTAATTTTGTTTGCAGATCTTATGCTCTGACTCCTGTGTATGAAGCTGCCACGAGGCCTGTTGAAGAAACATCGTCAGTGAGTATGGTAAAAACTGAAGCTGATGAAGCTGACAGACAAGAAGTAACATTACCTGGTGTTAATCTTCTTTTCGATGGTGCAGAGTTGCACCCCTTTGACATAGGTGCTTGCCTACAGGCTCGCCAACCAATTTCCTTAATAGCAGAGGCTGCTGCAGCCTCTGCATCTGCTGCTACTAAATAGGACTCTTTCAGTCTTTGCTTGGATGTGTATAGAAGAATTTATCCTATCTAACAAAAGGCAATCACCAACTTATCATATTCTTCCTGCCACTTCTACTCAAATTTGGTGGTTCTGCATTATCTTTGGAGTTGGCTGCTGTCCATGAGCTCGGGCTTGTCTCAAGGTAAGTGCTGAGATTTTTAGTGTGTATTAGAAAATTTGCCACCAATTTGAAAATCAGTTTCTTATTTCAAAAGATCAAAACCAAATCTCTCCATGAGATCGACAACTGAGAAGGAAAAAGTTCAGCCATGGAAAGATTGCTCAAAGCCTTGTGCTAAGGCCAAAACGTTGTTTAAGTTTCACTCGGGGTAGTTACATATACATTTAAGAAACCTTTGTTTTGGATTCTCAACTAAAAAACACGTAAATGTTGAATGCTGTCACTTGTAATGTTTTTGAGATGCAGAAGCCTAATTTTGCTTCCTTTCTTTGACTTGCATAATAATTTTCCTAGACTGATAGATTAGCCATTTCTGATTCAGGTCAGTTCTCGCAATCTTTCTTGCTGTAAAATGATTCATGGCTGTCTGATCAAGCTTTCTCTCCACTAGGAATGCGTAATGGAAGAAGAGAAATAATAGCTTGTGGATAGATATCAATGTTGGATATGGTGTATGGAGGCAAGGGATCATATTCATTTTTGCAAAAACGTCCGGACATGATGCAGTCTAAGAAACTTCATGTAACTTTTTGGTTTGGTTTTTATATGCTATTTCTCTCCGCTTTTGTTTTAGTTGGATAAAAGGTATGTATTTTTAGGTGTGTATCTTTTATACGATAAAAGAAATCAGCATTTTTTCATGCCACATCTATCAAGAAGGTGCCTTGTGAAAAATTGATTATTATATTGATAAATTTCAGTTTAGATGGCTTTGGGCCATTGCATCTCCGACCGAAACCCAAATTATACTTGTCTTGTGCTTTCGAGGACTATAGACGGTCAGCTTACACTCGGTTTGGACTGGGAACTCTAGAGTGGTGTCTGCCCTACATTCCTGTAGAATCTTCCTCCTTGGTATGCACAGTATGTATGCTAGTCCCTCGTTCTTGATGCGAAGTTTCGAATTCGATTATCTGGTTGTCCGATGTTTGTATTGGTGTGATGAGTCTAAGTTTAGGTGTGGGCCGTGTGGCTTCATCAAATGTCACTATTCATTCTAGACTAGGGCTCGGAGATTTCATTTCAATTGGTAATTTAATGATGAATCAAGAAATAAACTTTTCATTGTCAGGTCGATCAAATCAGCAACTCGCATGTTGTTGCTTTGCCTTTGCGTTTGGTGTGAATGATTAAAACTAATAGGTTTACATTACACCTGAGATCCAATCAATTTTTTACTCTTAATCTACAATTTAAAAGATTCATGAATGTGAGGATGGTAGAAGAGACAAGAGTAATAGAAGAACGGCTTCCCAACAGTTGGCGCTCTGTGGTCTCGTGTCCACCAAACCAGTTCCATTTTCTTATGCTGCTTGATCACATGATGAAAGAGAAGTAAGACTAAAGCGACCTTATTCACCTCACCAGATACATTACTTGAATTTGATAGAAAGCCAGTCTCTCAAATGTCACAAGAATCAAAGAAATTGATGAAAATTCTGTGATCATATTGTTCTACAGGCATCTCGTTTGCGTGGATAAGTTTAGCATTAAATGAAATATTGATAATAAGTGAACCTGGAATTAAATAAAAACGACACACCGTAACTCTCAGTCCCAGTGACATGACTCTAAAACAACTCTCTATTCAATCTCGCTTTTTCAACCATATAGTGCTCTCCAATAGCAACCAAAACAAGAGAAAACAGATTCGGGGCCCTGAACTTCATCGAGATATTATCACAAAAATTAAATCTTGATATTTTAGGTACACGTGTCTTTTGGAGTCTAAACTCAGCGTATCCGTTCACGTGGCAGACACAAAACAGACCGTCCCGTTTCGATGCCGCACTCGAAAGTTCAATAATCACTCCAAATGCTAACAGAAAAAGTCTACTTTCCGTGGGAGTATCTAGCTTACTCAAATCTTCCGGAACTAAAAGCCATTTCTCTTTATCAAACTTTGCATTTCCTTTCAATCTCTTTGAATCTTTTCTTTCTACTTCTTCATGAACACATTTCATTTATCTCCAAAAGGAACAAAGATGCTCCACCATCCACTTCCCTTCTATTCCAATTCTTCTAAATTCCATATCTATGCTTCCGCTTTGTCACACACTTTTGATCCTTCTCCTGCTCATGAGATGGGGTATATTTATTTCTCTCTTTTTTCTTTTCTTTTTTAATGTGGTTTAATTTCATAATCTTACGTGAGTGTTTCTTCATTGATGAAAGCGAGTGCATTTTATAAGTTTTGTTGATAACGGTCAACTAATTGTATTACTTGCTTAATTGGTTTTCTTTTCTTTGTGATTTAGATTGAAATTGTGTAAGAAAGCATCTAGCAGCAGCAATCCAGGGCGCTTCAGTAAGGCATGTCTAGCTCTATACAGTGTTTTTTAATATATGAGTTTTTCAATTTTAGCTAAAAATGTGATTGAAATTTTGGTTTTTGTTAGACAAGGGGCAGTGTCAGTCATAAGACATCTAATGCTTATGATCAGCGAGCTCAAGGACGTGTACTTGAGGTATTTAGCAATTACCATTTGCAAGTACATGATATTTATGTATTACATTGTGCAATGAATTGCTCTTTTTGCTAATATTGCATTGCGCTATTACGTGCTTCCTTAGAGATATAGTTGATTTTAGAAGCATTCAATTAATCTTTATCGTTTCTGCATGCTATATAGGAAGAAGCCCCTCAAATAACAGAAACAACCCCGTCATTGAAAACTTCCCAAGGCCAGGCATCTCCTCTCGGGGTGTCTGAAGTGGACAATGGGATCAATTTTGCTATTTTTTCTCAGCACGCTACAGCAGTCACGCTTTGTTTATCACTTCCCATTAGGTGAAATCCTTTTCCTTTTTGATTTATTGGTCACACTGTGAAAGTGGTTTATGTATACCTCTGAAACAATATTTTGTAATTATTTATCGCCTTTGACATGGATTTGCCTTCTGTGAAATAAGCATATATGCACATGTAAACTTTGGTAGTGCAACTATTTGGTGGTTTTCTTCTGTTGACAGTGAATGAAATATATGGAATCCTATTTTACATGAATGTAACAAAATAAGGAGAAAGGCTGTAAATGGGTTGAGAGTTCTTTCATAACTATTAGGATTTCTGATGAATGCATAGGCAATCTCTTTTCTACTTTAATATTGTCTTGATAGTTGTGGTGGATTGCTCTGATCGAATAGTTAATGAAACCATTTGATCTTTTCTTAGTGGACATGAAGTTCTAAAGTGTTACATATTGCTGTTTGGTGAAATAATTTTTCAGAGGAGACAGTTTGGGTGGTGGAATGATTGAGCTACCTTTGGATCCCCATGTAAATAAAACCGGAGACATCTGGCACATGCATATCAAGGTAGTCTTGCTGTTGGGTTTCTTATATCTCTATCTATGTGTATGGGTTATGTTAATCTTGCTTTTTAATGTTCAAATGTTTTTCATGCCCATGAAAAATGATTAGATTTCAGCTATATTAATTTTTATTAGCATTTATACCTTTCAGCTCATTGCAATATCATGGATTGAGTTTGCAATATTCTAAGATTTGTAATAAAGTTTGAAAAGGGATACAACTGTCAAAAGGTTACTTGATCAAGAAAATTCTAAGAGCCAACTTTAGTTTAATTGGCAAGAACCATTTTTGTTTAAATTACAAACACCTATTTTACAGGATTATTGTTAATGCTATTGACATACTTCTATTAATGTAGGATCTTCCTCGGAGCAATGTTCTCTATGGTTATCGCATTGATGGTCCTCAAGGTTGGAATCAAGGACATCGATTTGACAAAAACACTGTGCTTATCGATCCTTATGCAAAGCTAGTTGAGGGCCGTAGATATTTTGGAGATAGCAGTGAAAAATTATCAAAGTTTCTTGGAACTTATGATTTTGATACCTTGCCTTTTGACTGGGGAGAAAATTACAAGCTTCCAAATATACCAGAGGTACTCTGGGTCAATTACATAGGTCTTGAGTCGTGTAAAGTTTCTTTTTTCTTTTGACAATTTTTTTCTATGAGATTAAAATTTGAAAATGCAAACCTGTCTCCCTCTCTCTCTGTTTCTCATATATGTGTTCTGATGGTGAGCTGATAGTGGTACACATTTCAAATTATTTTCAGACAGATCTTGTTGTATATGAAATGAATGTTCGCGCGTTTACAGCTGACAAATCTAGTGGGTTGGATCCAGACATACGTGGCAGCTACCTAGGTTTGATAGAGAAGGTAATACTTTTGCGTATCAAACCAATCAGTTTCCAATTGGTGACCTTTGTGCACTTCATCCATTATGTACCTAAAGAATGCTGTTTTAGAATCTTATGGCAACTCTGTATCTCCTAATTCTTTCATCAAATCCCAATAAGTTAAGCAACATCCAATAGATATTTAATCAGCAGGTTTACCTTTGAAATTCTAATGGGTATATAATGATGGCACAAGCATGGGTGTGGTGTTAATTGTGGAAATAGGATTTAGTTCAGTGACTAAATACAAACAATTAACTGAAATGGGTTATGAGTACTTACCAAAAAAAAAAAAAGAAATGGGTTATGAGAATGGAAGTAGATGGGAACTTGATCCTGCAATGATGTGAGTTCTGGACTGGAAGGTTACAAGTTTCCAAGACTTTAAAACTCCTATCTGGATGACATCTGGTTTTAAACTGTCACTGAACGAAAGGAATCAAATTTTGCAAAGCAGAAAGATTTTTGCTTGAGTAATGAAGCTGGTAGAGGGTTCAAGTAACCACTGAGCATCAAAATTTTCAATTGCTGATGTTCTTTTCCTGGCGATATGTATGGAAGTGATATCTGTTACAAAAGCTTTGCTTGCGAAACTTATCTATCTATTTATACATCAGTAACTGCAGAAGTCCATGATTACTGCATTTTCATATATTCCTGAAATATCTTATGTCTTTCTGAATTTTTTTGAAGATTCCACATCTTTTAGAGCTCGGTGTCAATGCTGTGGAGTTGCTGCCTGTCTTTGAATTTGATGAGTTTGAGTTTCAAAGGCGCCCAAACCCTAGAGATCACATGGTAAAGCTGACAGTTTCCTTTGGTGTGTATTGTCGCTTGCCTTCAACTTTTCATGTACCTGTTATTGTGAAATTTTCAGAAAGCTTTTGCAACATAAATTTTTCTTTCATAACTTATTCTCTGTATCTGTTCCTTCTTGCAATAAACTTTCTTGACTATTTGGATCATCGGAGTTGTAGAGTCTTATATGATAAATATCTCTATTACTTGCTCTAAAACACAAATATTTCCTATTGGAAGCTCTCAATATTTTAGCTTGCTGAATCATTGAAGCTGTAGAACTCTTATGTGATTCATTTTTAAACTTCTATTTTTCATTTGAAATATTAGTATCCTCCTTTAAGTTACTTAATTGCCTCATGCAATGTTTTATTTGTTGAACGTGAATACCATATGTTGTTCATCTGTAAACATAGTTGATGATTCCGTGGATAGTAGGCTCACTTTGGATTTCTATATGTGAGAAATTTGACTATGGAATCTAAAAATAAACAATATAAGTTCTAAAATTTTCCTCTGTTTTTTTCTTTTTTCCTGTGTGCCAACTTAACCCTAGTCAATCCGCAAGGGCAAGCTAGTTGTTTGCCTGTGCATACTCTGTGTATACCTTTTGAAAATAAGTTGGAATTGTTTATGTTAGCTGAAGTAATCTATCAGATAATTTCTTCCTCTTCCATGTGTTTTTTGTGGCTTTATATGTTCATTAAGTTAAAATGAGCTTTTTATTTTATATTTTGAAAGGTCAATACATGGGGCTACTCAACAATAAATTTCTTTTCTCCAATGAGTCGCTATGCTAGTGGAGGTGGAGGACCTCTTAAGGCTTTGTGGGAGTTCAAAGAAATGGTTAAAGCCTTGCATGGAGCTGGCATAGAGGTGAATCATATATTTACAACCTTGGGGTTAGGAATGCATTTTATCAGTTGCTAGTATTTCCTTTCGCAATTTTTCTTGCTAAATATCTGAATTTTTTTGTAAGTGCCCTGAAGCTTAATTTTCAACAGGTCATTTTGGACGTTGTCTATAATCATACTAATGAGGCAGATGATAACTACCCTTATACCACCTCATTTCGTGGCATTGATAATAAGGTGATTTTGGCACTTTGTTGTTATGTTAGATCATGTAAGTCATGCAGGACCATATTCTCTGTCTGGACACTTAATTGGCTGAATGTTTTAGATATGATTTAGATAAGAATATTTCATCAGTTGAATGAGAAATAAGGGGAAGTCTTCAAATAAAGTTTATGTGTGGTTGATAAGCCAGCAGTGCATAAAGTCTACACCCTTAAGGGGCGTAAAAAGCATTAGAAAGGTTGTTAAGGGAGAGGGACCACAAAGTACAGGTGTCATTGGGGTGGATTCTGTTTTGGAGAATACAAATTGTGTGAGTAAGGGTAATTGTGGAAAAAGGGAATTAGTATATATTCAGCAGAGTTGTAGTAGGTCTTTTATCTTTTGAATTTGGGTTGATAAAACAGTGGAGGTTCCTGGCTCCTCGAAACGCCAGGGTGTTGGGATAATTCCAATCATCTCATCTGTTCTTTTTGCATTCATTTCTTCTGTTTAATACAAGTAGTGCAGGACTTGCAATTGTGTCTTGAGTTGTGATTGATTGTGTGTTGGTTGATTTGTGTGAGAATTACTGTTGGTTGGGTGTATTTGATTGAATCTGCAGGTGGTTGTATCAGTGGTTTGAATAATTTGTCACTTTCAGAACACTTTATTTTCACCATATGCATTCTATTTTACGTATCTCAGTCATAGCATCCTTCAAATCCTTCTGCAGGTTTATTACATGGTGGACAGCAATGGCCAGTTGCTCAATTTCTCTGGCTGTGGTAATTCTTGTGTCCTTCTCAATTGTTTTCTTGTTACTTTTCCCCAGATTTTTTACTTGTACATGTGTGTTGAGGAACTTATAATATTCTTGTCATATTAGGGCTACCTTAAAATGTTTCTTCTACATACTGTTGGCCCTTTTAGTGTTACTATAGAAGCTTTGTAAATTACATTAGCTTGTGGGCTTTTTCAATGGCTACTTAACAACCACTCGCTTTCTGCTTGTATAGGCAATAGTTAACTACATTCTTAACTACATTAAATTAATTAATAATTCTTCCTTTAAGGATCTCCAACCGGGGAATTACATATGCTATAAATAAGAGCTTTAAACATCTCATGGATAGTGTTAATGCTCAACACTCACTCAACTTCTTCCAGTTTGGATGCATGGCCTCATCTTTTCCCAACTAACCAAATAACATTGCCATGAGTTAGTCATGACCATGTTGAAGTCAATTACTAATTCTTAGTCCTGACCTCTTACTCTTGATATGAAGCTGACTTTTAGAAGGTGCCCTGGTCAAGGAATCAGCGATGTCGTGATATCATCATTTACTACTATAGATCTTCTATGTTGATATTAATGAGGTCCGGGATTATAGTTTAGCTGAGTATTGAGCTGAAAGTAAGAGAGCATTTGAGCATGTTTGTTGAATTTATTTTCCTTGGAAAAGTAATTATTATGAACATCTAAAGGTTTCTCAGATGCAGCATCTTGTCATTTTCAGGAAACACATTAAACTGTAATCATCCTGTGGTCATGGAGCTCATCCTGGACAGCTTAAGACACTGGTAAGGATATAATTCATCCAGAAACTGAAGGGTAACATCATTGCGAAGAAGTAAAAGAATATACACCATCCTCGATAAAAAATCAAACATATAGTGTGCTATTTTTGTTGAATTAATACGTCAGCTCTTTCTTGACAATTCAACCAGAACCAGGTTAATAATCATTCAACATATCGGAATATTCATGCTTCTACTTATTGATGTTAACTAGATATCAGAAAAAATATTCAAACTAGTTTGCTTTAAGAATCTTTTTGGTTCAATTTACCCATTAGTTAACAATATTGACCCATTTAATGAAAGGTCTTTGATCATTTGGATTTAAGTCAATTAATATATTATTTGGATGAAAACCCAAAAATATTTTCTTGTATAATATTTTGAGTAGAATTGACCCTTTGTACTATTTTTTAAATATTATTAGACTATGGATGTGATTGCTGTGTAACTGTTGTTTCTACAGAGATAATTCTGGGACTTTATCTGAAGATAATACAATTTAATGCTAATTTAAAAGGCTTATGTTACTTTTTGGTGTTATATACATTTTAATTACTATTTGTTATTCTCTTCTTTCTCTTTATTCTCTAATTCATTTCAGGGTTGTTGAGTATCATGTGGATGGATTCCGATTTGACCTTGCTAGTGTACTTTGTCGAGGATCAGATGGTTCTCCACTTAGTGCTCCACCACTTATTAGAGTAAGGGATTTGTATGCATCTTATATTTTATGATTGCTATAAACATAATTCGTGGTAATGCAGCTTTCTTTGATTAGTGGAAATAAATGTATGGTTGGAAGTGACTTATATTATTTTTGCAAATGTGAACTTCATAGTTTCCTCCCATTTTTTTTTTTTTTTTTTTTGCTATTTAGTGGGAAAAGTAAGAAAAAGTTTTCTAATATCATTGTTAGTTGACGTTAGGTGAGATGCTAGTTAATATTTTTCAGATATAGCTTTAAGAGGCTATCATGTATTTTTGTTTTTGGTCTGATAATCACAAAACGGCACTTACTCTGCGGGAGCACATAACTTTTTTAAGTTGCTGGATTATTTCAACTGTTCGTCAATTTGGCAACTAACAAAATTTGAAATTTATGCATGTTGTGAATTTTAAATAAATGTATTATATTCAATATGGTATTAAAAAGGTATTGTTTGTTTCATACAAATATGTAATTAGGTAGTTCAATAACGTGTTGAGGTGAGAAGTTTGATCTAGGTAACTTATATATATTTTTATTAATATGCCAGGCAATTGCCAAAGATGCTACCCTATCTAGGTGTAAAGTTATTTCAGAACCTTGGGACTGTGGAGGCCTTTATCTTGTTGGAAGTTTTCCAAATTGGGACCGGTAAATTATCTTTCATTTATTTTGATTTCTCTTGTTTGGAATACAACTAACAACTTGTGGAAGTATGGTCACCTACCTCCTTCACTTATGAGCTCCCTTTATGCAGGTGGGCTGAGTGGAATGGGAAGTACCGTGATGACTTAAGAAAATTTATAAAGGTACCTAAATTTGCTAGTACTAAAGTGGGCTGATGTGCTTAAATGGGGGATAATAGTTGAGTTAACTGTGATTTAGAAATGGCTTGTGTAATGCTATAATATAGAAATCAACATCTCAACATAAACATGATTGTGATTTATGTGGTGATGGATTCTAAACTTGTATTAAAATTTGAAAGTTATTCTTTTAGTTCAAAAGTTTGGTTATTTTGAACCTTAGGTTTTGTTAATTTATTTTATCAAGGTGAAGATCTTATCCTCTGCTCTTTACTTATTTTTATTTTTGCTTTCTTTTCCTGGTGAAAGTCATGCATTTCATGTCATTAATAACTTCTTAGTTTTACCTTTTTTTATCTGATACTGTTCTCAGGTAGAAAAGATGATCATCTATTTCTATTTCTTAATCACTTATTTTATTTTTCTGAATTTGCATGTTACAGGGTGACCCTGGCATGAAGGGGAGTTTGGCTACTCGTGTCTCTGGATCTGCTGACCTTTACAGAGTAAGTGTCATCGACGTCATGTCCTCTGATGTTGTTAATTAGGGTTGGCAACTTGTTAAAGTGTTTTGGAACTGCAAACTTTTGTTATTAAGGGTATACACTAAGCTTGAATTGTCAATTTTTCTTCTGAAAGGTAATGAGTTAGGTGAAATTGTGCATCAACTTAACCTTTTTCCGTGGAAAAATTTGTATTACTGATGTAAATAATCAACTTATGTGCATTTGCTTATCAATTTTGCTCATCATACAGGTAAATAATCGCAAGCCCTATCATAGTATTAATTTTATCATTGCACATGATGGGTTCACACTCTATGATCTTGTTTCATATAATAACAAGGTACTCTAAAATTTCTAGCCATCCATTTACTTTCAATATTATCCTATGGGATATGGCTTCAGTTTCCTGAAATTATTGGTTTTGTAGCACAATGAAGCTAATGGAGAGAACGGAAACGATGGAAGTAATGATAATTTTAGCTGGAATTGTGGTTTTGAAGGTGATTTTTCTTTTTTCCTTAATTGCTACTATGGTTATGCATGTTTCTTCATTTTCTGTTAGTGTCAGCACAACTTTTTAGTTATTGGTGGCTTGATTCGGTTAGTCAGGATACTGTATAAATAAATCTCAATTCAAAATAAATAAATAATGCGAGAAGATTGAACTAAAAATTTCCTTTTTGATGGACCATCTGATGTTAATCAATATTTTTATTGGACAGGGGAAACTAGCGATGCTAGTATTAAAGCTTTGCGCTCCCGCCAGATGAAAAACTTCCATTTGACGTTAATGGTATCTCAGGTAGAAGTTTTTGATATCCATTTTAACTTTTAATAGATTTTTGGAACCAAACCTTTATTTTTACCTACTGCTGTTCATAAAATGAGAATGAGACTATGTTCATTTCGAAAATGGTTTCAGTTTTCAGTTTTCATATTCAACATAATAATTCCACGTCCTTTGTTCTGTTTGGAAATGATATCATTTTCAACTTTGACTGTCCACATTCCTAGAATAGATAATATAGTAGGTTGAATGGCTCACAGTTGGAGCATTTTTGTTTCTTGTATATGTTTGGGTTAGTCATCTCATACTTCTTCCTATTGCTGAGACGCAATTTCTAGCTTTAACAGCCCCCTGTACCACTTTTTGACTAAGTATAATGTTTTGCATTGATGGCCTCATCTGTGAAATTTCAATTGTTTGCTTACACTCCCTGTGAATCCGTGGAAATATAAACCTTTGCAAGTGAAATGACCAGGGAACCCCAATGATGCTAATGGGGGATGAGTATGGCCATACTCGTTATGGAAATAACAACAGTTATGGACATGATACTGCTATTAACAATTTCCAGTGGGGGCAGGTAACATTTCAGTTCATCCTATTTTTTGATAGGTTTAATCCATAATGCCTAAATGACTTAACCATTCACTATTACAGTTGGATGCACGGAAGAATAGTCACTTCAGGTTTTTCTCAGAGATGATAAAATTTCGGCGATCCCATGGAGTATTTCGTCATGAAAATTTTCTTGAAAAAGTAAATATGCTTTTGCTTGTGTATTTTAATTGAAGAATGTTATTTTTTAAATTTTTACAATCCAGGCAATCAGTTCTAGATAAGCTCATGAAATACTAACTTGTGCAGAATGATGTAACATGGCATGAGGATAACTGGGACAACTATGAAAGCAAATTCCTTGCATTTACGTAAGAGCTAAAAACTTTCTTAGTGGTTAATGATTTTTTCACAGCTGACAATCAATGCCAGACATGTTAATGCCCACAACATGATTTGAGATATTTGTTTTGCAGGCTTCATGATAATGATGGAGCAGATATCTATTTGGCATTTAATGCCCACAATTTCTTTGTTAAGGTTTCAATAGCCCCAGCACCACCAAAGAGGCATTGGTTTCGTGTGGTTAGTTTTTCTTTTTATTATTCATCTGGTGAAGTTTACTGATTGTGTTTGCTGAACCTGAATTTTTTCAGTACAGTGCTCATGAATGCAGTAGGGATTTTGCTTATTTGTTTGCTGAAGTAAAATATGCATGCCTTTCCTGATTGAAGTCTCTGCTGTCTTTTAGTTTCAGTAAATTAATTGCATATGGAGACAATATTTTAATTGATACTATGGCTTTTACTGACTAATTAAAAATGTGTCATATTCTTTCATTTGCTTATCTGAGCTTTCATGTTTGAAATCATTAGAGTAACTGCTCAGTACACTGAACCATGATGCTGATGAATTACAACATATGTGAAATTGTTGTTTTGATACTATTTTCCTTAGCTTTCTGCTACTTAATATGAGTTCCTTCTAAATGTTATTACTTGTACCTGCAATTATTCACCCATGGAACCAATATGTCTTGCACTTGGTTCTCTCCATTGTTTAATTGATTGTATGAATCTTCCAATTCCCAGGAATTGTGTTTATCTGCTTTCTTGTAAATATATAATATTGCATGATACCAATTGATAAGTGATATGATATGACTTTTATCGATTTGGTTCAAAAATAAAATTTAAGTAATAAATTAAAAATAAAAAGAGGAGAGAAAAGAAGCAGCAGCATCTGCCATATGTTTATTCATCTAATGCAACATCTAACCTATCTTTCTCGTTTCTCACTTCAAAGAATCTCTTTTTGTGCTTCCTTCTTAACAATTATAGCATGGCCCGAGTAACATCTAACCTATCTTTCTCGTTTCTCACTTCAAAGAATCTCTTTTTGTGCTTCCTTCTTAACAATTATAGCATGGCCCGAGTAACATAAGATTTTTTTTTTTTTTTTTTTTTTTTTTTTCATTCACTAAAGTTAATCAGCTCTTCCAATGAATAATGTGATAGTCATTGTAGTTTAATTTCGTAACTGATTCATCTTTTGCAAATATCACTTGGTGAAATCCTCCAACCCTAAGGTCAGAGTTGTTTAATTTCAGGTGGACACGAATCTCAGTTCTCCAAATGACTTTGTTGTTGAAGGTGTACCAGGCATTGGAAGCACATATAATGTGGCCCCATACTCTTGTATTCTTCTTGAAGCTAAATCATGAGATGGCCTTTCAAGCTACATGCAGATGAACATTCCAAATGGGTAAATTCTGATGTGGGTTGCTAGTATTTGTTTTGGAGAAATGTTCAAGCGTCCAAAAAGTGGTTAGAAACTTGAGGACCTTATCACTACTCTAATCAAATACATGGTGGAATCCGATTCTCTTATGACCTGTAAAGTGTAATGAAACTATAAAACTATTTCCAGGTAAACATAAAAGACAAAATAAAATAGTGTAGTTCGGAACATGAGGGAAGAATAATCAGAATTTCCAACTACGAGCAATGCAATAGGATGTAATTTGGTATCTCTGTTAGTTACATATTCAATAAAGACCAAAGAGGGTAGACAGTACGTAACGCTTAGATCATACCTTGTGTTCTGTTACTGTTAAATCTTCAAATTATTTATTTATTTTTTATAAGTGGGATGTCTAGACCAGTTTATGCACACATCAATTAATCTTTTAGGCTTTTAGAACTATTGGCCAAATATGGGTTCCAGAGATTACTTTTATTAGTTCACTCTTATTAACAGTCATGAGGACTCGAATTAAAGAGGTCATGTTAGATTCTTTTCTTATTCTTTTATTCTTAAGAGGACTCGAATTTGGAAGATGTTATTAAATCATCTTTTTTTAGATACCATGTTAAATTTTCCACCTTACTCTTTTATCACTAAGATTCTAATTTGAGAGATGATATTAAGTCTTTTTTCTCATTTACAATCACATCATTCAACGGTAGTTAATCTTCAAAGTCATGTTCATATTATGCTATTATAGCCATAAAACTTTGTGGATCTATTTGTTAATTAATTAGTGGGAGACTCGGTAGAGTGTGCGCGTGTGGAAAGGTTGCTTTAGAAAATGCTAATGGCTTCGGTGTTAAGTTCTTCAAGCAAATGACAGGTGTATGAATGCGTTGTCATCAGGAAGCCCAAAAAGTGGTATACAATAGGACAAGTCAAGTCATAGTTCACAATTGAATACAACCTGACACAGATTGTGCTTCACTTTACGCCTTCTCCTTCACTTTGAGCTGACTCGGACTTTGTACGCGCTTCTGTTCACCACACGATCAATTCCACTCTTTCAAACATCATTACCATAAATGCAAGTAAATGTTATTAATTACATTCTTGATTTTGGGTTGTATCATAATTTGCTGAGTCTTTCTATTCAATGTTTAGTTTTTTGAATAGTCGCTATATTAATTTTCACATAATTATTATTTTCCCAGAAACATCGAATCTCATTTAAATTCAGCTTAAATATGCAATCTGGATGTGTAATCATATACTTTGGTTAATTCAATTTACAATTTTGCATGTCAATAACGTGACAGGAAAGGTAAATTGTTCTCAGCAAGTCTCGCCTCCCATTTGCATTTAAGAGCTGGACAATGACTAGAAATTAACAGATCAACACGGCATCCCAAGATAGAAAATTTCCAATTTCCAATTTCTTAACAGCTCAAAGCGTAATTTGCTGACATGGAAGCAATAGACTTTTCTGCATTTTAAGAAAGATGGATGAATATTGAGTCCTCGTCTTATATGTTATTCTAATGCTAAATTGTTTACTTACATATTACGTTAGCCATGACTTGATTAGTCTTAATTAGTCAGTATATCTAACGGCCCTTTGTTGAATTAATTAATTAATTAATCATAATCATTTTGTCATTAGGATCCAAAGTGCATAGACTACTATTATTTTATCAGCTCGATGTGTTTTTTCTACATTGAAAATTGATAGTCCACTATACAATATAAATAAATATTGAACTTAGAACGTGACGATCATAACGGTAAGTGGAATTTTTGTTCATTATAAATTATAAACTGCTTGGATTCCCACAAGTCTGTCTCNTATATATGCAATCTGGATGTGTAATCATATACTTTGGTTAATTCAATTTACAATTTTGCATGTCAATAACGTGACAGGAAAGGTAAATTGTTCTCAGCAAGTCTCGCCTCCCATTTGCATTTAAGAGCTGGACAATGACTAGAAATTAACAGATCAACACGGCATCCCAAGATAGAAAATTTCCAATTTCCAATTTCTTAACAGCTCAAAGCGTAATTTGCTGACATGGAAGCAATAGACTTTTCTGCATTTTAAGAAAGATGGATGAATATTGAGTCCTCGTCTTATATGTTATTCTAATGCTAAATTGTTTACTTACATATTACGTTAGCCATGACTTGATTAGTCTTAATTAGTCAGTATATCTAACGGCCCTTTGTTGAATTAATTAATTAATTAATCATAAACATTTTGTCATTAGGATCCAAAGTGCATAGACTACTATTATTTTATACAGCTTGATATTTTTTTCTACATTGAAAATTGATAGTCCACTATATAATATAAATAAATATTAAACTTAGAACGTGACAATCATAACGGTAAGTGGAATTTTTGTTCATTATAAATTATAAACTGCTTGGATTCCCAACAAAGTCCAATCAACACGTTCTCGTTTCCAGTTGTCACGCATTCGACGGCTGAGATTGTTTTCTATTCCATTACATAGTAGGAGGTGATTTGTAAATATATAATTATTTATAATAATGATACATCAACAATCTTTTTTATTATTTTTTTCATAATTCTGTTAATATGGAATTAGTTAATTTATAATTAATTAATAAAATTTATATAAGATCTATTATAAATTAACCAATTACAAGTTAACATGTTAAAATTGTAAAAAAAAGTTTACGAAAGTTACCGTGTTTAGTCATTAACCAAATTGGTACGCACTGTACAAGGAAAAAGTTGAAATTAATTTGGATCCATGATATAACACGTGTTGGTATTTTAGGAAAGAAATTGTGTTGACATTTCCTTGTATTCCAATTTCCAACCATTACATACAAAAATTCCCAAATATTATCAAGGATTTCTCTTGATTTATGTAACAATTTTGAGAAATAGTAAATAAAAACATCCTCAAAAAGGCATAAATAATTAATTAGAGTAGATCACAAATTCTGAAACATTAAACTCCTTACTTCTATATTTAATTAAATAAACGAAACATATTAAAGTTAACCTATTATAAGGACTAAATGGTAATTACGGTGAAACCGAACGTTTCATGAAAGAGAAGGAAGGGAACAAGAAATTGCCTCAAACCCTCCACTATATAAATACCCTCTGCCTCTCTTTCTTTTCCTCACAATACAAAACAAATCTCTCTTTATTTTTCTCTCTTTTGTCTCTTTGCCTTCTCAACGATGGCCTCTTCAGCCTTCTTCTTCTTCATGCTTTTGGCTCTTGTGGCTACTTCAGCCTTCGCTCAGGCACCTGCACCGGCACCGAGTCGCTCGCCACCTTCACCGACTAGCTCGCCACCTTCACCGACCGTCTCTCCAGCGCCCAAGGCTTCCGCTCCAACTCCGGCTACTCCACCAACTCCCGCAACTCCGGCTCCGACTTCTCCTCCAACGGCCTCACCTCCTACCCCTTCATCTCCTTCACCAGCATCTTCTCCAACATCTTCTCCACCTGCTCCTGCTCCTGGTGCCAATTCTCCCGGTGGTGGTTCTGCTCCCGGTGAATCTCCAGGGTCTTCTGCAAACAGCGCTGCTTTGAACAGAGTTGCTGTTGCCGGATATTTGGGCGGAGTCGTCGCTACTGTTGCTTTGTTTATCTAGATCTATAGATGATCGTGACGATAGGTTGCTTTGTCTAGGATTTTTTTTGATTTTATTTTTATTCTTATTTTGTTCAGTGGTTTTTTTAATTTTTACTATTGACGGTGATGGACGTTTGATATGGTTTATTGGTAGTTTGATGGTTGATTATTATTTCTAGTTATGGAATTTTTCTGATATTATTCTATGATTTTAACTTGATGTTGTTTAGATGGTTTACTCAACGAAATTGAACTGATGCTTGATTGTGAGTTTTAGTGTTAGTGAAGAGATAAAAGTGGAAGGGGTAGTTTCTGGAGAGCGGTGTGTTGTCGTTTTGTGAGGGAGGGAGGGAGTGATGTGTTGTGTTGTGCTACTTTTATCTTTTATCTTTTGATATTTGAAATTTTATTTGTTTTTATGTTTTCGTTTTGAAGTATGAGTAGTGATGGTTTAGGCTTTGTTGTTAGTGGTGAGAAAAGTAAGGTCACGTTTGCTTTTAGAACAGGTGTCACGTGGTAACAGCTGTTGGTTTTGACAGAGCTACCCATGTGCATTTTCATCGTTGACAGACACGAAACAGACTGTTAAGATTGAGACTCTTTAGTTTAAAAGGCTAGTCAATAATAAATCGCTTACTTTAATTAACCAATTCTTATTGAGACTCTTTTGGAATCATATGATGCCATTTCTTTTTTTTTTTTTTGAGTTGTTGAAGAGCACAATGGGTCTCTCTTCCACCTGTCAAAAGAATAAATTCGATAGAGATCAAGTTGGGGTATGCAGAATGTTCTGGAAACTTGGCTATTAATTTGTGTCATTATATGTTGTCTACTAGCCATTTCAAGTGTAAAAAAAAAAAAAAACCATATTCAGCAACTAGAGCATTTGTCTTAATCAGTCAAAACAATTGTATTAATAAAACAGACTCAAGTCACTGCTTATGTACCAAAACAGGGGAGTAAAAATGAGCCCATCACTGACACCAGTGTCTTATCATTTCATTTTGTCGTGGCTGTGGTTTGATTTTAAATTTCAATCGTCAGTATGAAACAAGAAGCGTACAAGAATCATAAAATGAGAAATGGTGTTCTGGATTTTATTAACATTCATGAAATTAATTACTTTCCTATAGAAGATTTGTGCATATTTTAAGGCGTCTGAAACAAATTTATTTTTGGGTTTAATCACAGGTTAACATATGGTACTTACTGATTAGAAATGGATGTAAATTTGGTTTAAACAGATGAAGTAAATGACTTAAATTTGAGTGAAGAAAAGTACGAACATCTCTGTGTCCTACAAAGATGATCTTCCTTTGTGACCAACTCTCCTGGCCACAGCTATATTCGACCTGGTGGCTCTCATGACCAGTCGGTCTACCCGTACACAAATGGCTTTTGATTTTTCCTCTTTGACTGGCATGCCCCTAACCTAGCCCGACAACTGGAAAACATAAAAAGGAAAATTGAAATATTTGACCAACTTTTAGCCATATTTTTTGGGTCATTTATTTCGACCACTCAAACAATTTACTTTCCCCCCAAAACCCTTCATTTACAACTTCAATAATTCAAAAAAATCAAATAACCATTTCTCAATTCGATTCTGCAATTAACGTTAGCTAACGTATTGTCTCTTGGTTTCGATCTAATTTGTAACTGTACATATAGTTTTCATCAGACCACCGAACTGTAGAGGACCTTTTTCTTCATAAGTTGTATAGATTCCTGTTTTTTATATACCTTTTAAAACATCCAAAAATTGACTTTTCAACCCTTTTTGAATTCACATTTCTCTTTTGCAAAATACATGTTTAACAACATCCCATGAGTTTTCTAACATTACAAGGTGAGCTTACAAATAATATCTTGAGGGTTGCTCGTGTAGAAGGGCTTGAAGAAGAAGAGTTAAAGATAAGGGTAAATAGCCTTAACCCCTAAAAGTTGGTCAAATAAGTTAATTTCCTAAATTGAGAAAAACCTTTTAGAGCATGGTAGCAATTATTTAGAAATTAAGAGATACAGGAGATTTTTTGAGGAAGAAAGGTATTGACATGTGAAGTAATTCATCTAGTGGAACGATAATGTCACTCTTTAAAATCCCAGGGGGTTGACCTTAAGGAGGTTTGTTCAATTCTTTGAGTTTATGAGTTCAAATCTTGCGTCACCTACTATAATGTTTACTTGATCCTTTAAGCTTATAGGATGTTCAATAAACCTCAGCACACCTCGGTTATCCAAAAAAAAATGTTACTCTTCAAACATTTATTCATTACTATTTTATCACCTAAAAAAAGTGATAAAAGGATCCTTTAGTGATTATACCTTTAGTCCCTTATCATTAAGCCCATACGTCCTCTTTCAGCTTTACAACACATCCAAGTTTTAGTGATAAACACCGACTCATATGATGTCCCCAACTCCCTGTTACAACCTATCATTAAACCAAACCATTCTTATAATTACTTTATCACCTTCCTTCGTTACAAAGAAGATATATAATATGAAATTCATTTACTTATAGGATTTAATTTTATTACGAATCAATTTTGTCGAACTAACCTTTGAGGGATTGAATTTGTGTGTATTTGAGTAGGATAATTTCAATGATGCGCCATGATTTTTTAAGAAAACAAACCTACTCATAGATAACTCATGAATACAAAACAAGATACGGAGTAAAAGAGAGAAAGAAAGCACTGCCTCTATCCTGGTCACTTATTATGACAGAATCAACAAAAAAAATGCAACAAAAGTAATAACTAAAGTGACCAATGGGGAGAAGGCACCCCCAGAAGATGATTCAGTAACGTTAGAAGAAGGTGTGTTGGTTGTGGTTGTGTTATGACCAGAAGTGGTTGGGTTGCCAGAAGATGTTGATCCTGATGGGGCAGTGGGTGATCCTGCTGTCACAGTCACAGCAATCTTCATACCATTGCCACAATGACCAATCACACCACAAATAAAGTAATGAGTCCCGGCGGTCTTTAGAGCGATAGTTGTGGCGCCGCTACTGTCTGTGGTGAGTGCATTCCCCGTTGTGCATGTGTTGTAGTCACTGGCGCTCACTTCATCGACAGTGTGCCCACTTCCATAGTTGAACACTATCATCAGATAAAAAAGTATATGGATCAATTCGAATTAACATTAATGAAAAATACATAAATTTATGAAAAGAGAGAACGTATTACTCACCAAGGCTATCACCAACTTTAAAGGTTTTGCCACTGGTCCATGTGCTATAGTCAGCGCCCATGGTCCAGCCACTGGAGTCTCCTACAGTGTAAACTGTGGCCAAGCTCGGCACCACCATACAAATGACTAAAGCTACACAAACAACTGGAGCACCAACTCCTGCCATTTTCATAAAATTAGAGAGAGATGCTAAAATAAAGAAGAAAGATGGGGAAAATGGTATGCGGATAGTTGTTGAGAGAGCAGTGGGGGGGTTGTTTATATAATGATAATAAAGCAAATGAAATAAGTAGAGTTTGGTCCACTTAAATTCCACTCATCTCTGAAACTGTGAAAGGGATTTATCCATGAAGATTACTTGAGCCAAACTCCATACCTAATGCAAGGGAAAGTGGGTCCATACTGAATGGTTTTATTGAAGTTGCTTCAGTTAGTATTAGAAATGGTTGTTAGGAATGAGTCCTTCCCTGTAATTTAGTGACGATGTAAATTGATATAGCAGATAATGTGCCAGTTCATATAAGCATAAAGGTGTACCAAAAAGGTATATCTCATTATATATGCCTTTAATCTCCCCTTTTTCTGTCTTTCAAACATGAATTGTAAATGAAGATATTAGCATTTTTTATTAGTATAGAGTTAAACTTCACTTTCAACTTAATTTGATACTAGTTTTACATATGCATGATGTTGGAGACATAGTTTTTAATTGATTAAGGGCTTAAAATTTTGTCTAACTGATGTAGAAAGTAGGAACTCGCGAAAATCACAACTTAGAAGCACGATTATATTACCTAAATATGTGGAAATAGAATACATTACACGCTTAAAGCCTACTTAATGTATACTACAAGTCAATACGAAGGTGAGGTGTTAGAATAAAGGAAAATTGGCCTCCTTTCCAAATGTTAATCTACGCCCAGTTCAGGTGAAAACAGATGAGAACTAACAAAGGGTGAAGAAGAAGAAGAAGCTTATCATGTTTGGGATTTTTTCTTATAAATCCACATGCAAAATCTTGATATTAATAAGAGGAAGAAACATAATTAAGAACATATATTTATTTATTAGTTTTGGCGCAATACGCCTGATATCTATGGTTGAACTTTTCACGTATATAAGAGATCCCTTTTAAGCAAACCTTAAGCTCAAGTACTTAAACAAAAATCTGCCGACATAGTAATAGATGATAATATGTTTTAGCTTGAAATGCTAATTGATTAGAAGTGAGGTCAATATACTGATATAGTGAAAATTAGGTGTGAAGTAGGATGAGACGTCGTAATTAAGATCCAAAACTCACCAACTAACAAGGGATTAAAAGGTCTTCAAGGCCATGATTTTAGAGCAGGTGGTGATGAAATCCTCACAACTTTGAAAAAAAAAAAACCAAAAAGGACCAACTTTAAACCGTTCCATAATTACCGAGATAAAACGATTAGGTGGGTCCTAACCATCACATGACAAAGCTCAACAAAGCCATAAATCATTTGGTGTAGTTGGGCCAATTGGTTCTGTTCAACTACTCTTGTATTTGTTATCTTGTTCTTAAAAGGGCCCCAATTTGTATGCTTTATTTACTTTTCGGCAAGTATATATTCTATCGCCTGTTCAGGTCCATCCATTGCCAAGCCAATGCTACTTCTAATCTAGAGAATACAGGTAATTCGAAAAGATATCTAGAAAAGAAAAAGAAAAGAGCTCTAATAATTTTCGGTAAGTGCACCTAGAGGATCTTAGAAACAATTTGTAAATATGCAACAATAAAAATGAAGAAAGTGAATTTGGCTTGAGGGGACATAGTGGGTTGCATTCAAATAGCAGGAATATAATGTTCAACTAAAGATGACAATAAAGATTATTAGAAAAGCAACCACCTTTTGCTAGTCAAGTTCAGCAACAATTGCAAGTTTCTGGGGATCCTGAGCCTCTTAGTGTACAGCATATTCATAACACACAAATGCTGTCAATTCCTCATATAAATGATAATATCATGGAAATCTGTGAGGGCAGTTCCTAGTATAAGACGTCACATTCTCCTGGGCTAAGTAATTAGGTAAGTGTCTTGAAATCCCTCACGTCAGAGATAGATAATTAGATATGTGACCGAAGCCTGATGCACGCACACATCAAGTCCAAACTGAAGGACTACAACATTTTCAAAGCATACCTAACAGTTTGGTAGAATTTCAACATCAATTGGATTTTCTGAAGCCTCAACAATCAAAATCTGAAATCCCTATCATTCAGCTTCTGACTAGAAACAAAAAAAAAAAAAAAATGAGTGAAGTTAAATTCCCAGTTTCATTCTCTCGACTGAACCTTCATCAGAATCTACGGTTGGTTATTGTATTACATAGTACACAGACCATGGATATCAGTTAGGAGCAAAAGCCACAACACAAACAAGTAGTCGGCTATTCGCAAACGAGAAAGGTCAAGCCTCCATGTGAAAGCAGCCCAATTTCTAAAAGAGCTTTCATTGGGTAAATAAGAAGCCTTAGAGGGGTATATAACATTAAAAATTGCAGATAAGAACATGAGAGGTGTTCTTAGTGAGTGACACAGGGTGTTAAAAAATTGAAGCACATCTATGGAGTCATGCAGTCATTCCATAAAATAATAGAAGCTGACTTGGGTGGAATTATCCAGAAAAGAACAGACTAAGAACACCTCTCATGTTCTTATCTGCAATTTTTAATGTTATATACCCCTGCAAGGCTTCCAATTTACTAAATGAAAGCTCTTTTAGAAATTGAAGCACATCTATGGAGTCATGCAGAGTCATTCCATAAAATAATAGAAGCTGACTTGAGTGGAATTATCCAGAAAAAAAAAGAGTTTCTTATAAAAGATTATAGGTTTAAGAGCTAAGAGCAAATGCAAATGCATGTGTGAAATGTTACAAGATGACTGATAAAAGTATAAAATTTTGTATCCTTTTTTTACAGCTTACACTATTGGGAAATTTGTATCACATGATAACAATTTTTGGTTCACTGTTTGATAGTTGTGGTTCAACAATACTACTCCTAAAGCATGCTTGATTTCTACTCAACATATCTTCAACGCAAAGTTTGGTGTGAGATTTTGTTTTTCTCAAAACCTAAAATTTAGCCCAACCTCGATCCAACATTCTAAAACTTGGGCTAATACTCAGGGATTTGAAATGATCGGCCATTGAGCTTTTTCAGGTTGTCAACCTGCAGGATAAATTTAGAGTAGAACCAGTAAATCCTCAGTTTCATATCTACTGTTTTGTATGTTTTGTTTCCTTGAAGCAATTTCTTTTAATATGAATGGAAAATAAATAGGTTAGTTTCTGTGATTGTTGCTAAGATCCTTTTTCCAGACAATTTATCAAGTAAGAAGGTGAATGTCGAAAACAGAGAAATATGAAAACAAAAACAGCTGAAGTTATTGATTTCAAGATTTGGCAAATGGACAATGCTCAATTATCCAATTTAACTATGGCTACAAAATTGAGAAATATCAGTCATCACAAACAGAATTTATGGCTTCTATTACTGAATAGCCTCTACTATCCGGTTCACAAAGTATTACAAACATGAGGATCACACTCAAGTATGCATGAAATGAAGAAATGAGTAGCTCACGTTACTAATCATAACCCTTGCAAGTTCAATAGAAAAAAGTTTTAAACCACTTGGTGCGTTTCTAAGATTTAAATTTACCAATAAAAAACTCTTACACATACGAAAAAATTTAGAAATATCTTCCTTGTATAACAGACTGTTAACAGTAATAAATCAGCTGGTCAAGTCAAACAATGGGATTAAACAAGGGAATGAAGCTGCAATATATTTAATACAAGATCTGTGAGAAGAAAAAGAACCAAAAATGTTCTTGAGGCCAGTGTTTTGCCACAGCTAAATCATAAGTAAGCCCAGCTGATAGTCACTTTAGCAGTTCAGAGGGCACAGTGGAAGCCCAGCATGATCACCATATGTTTATGGCCAGCATTCCACTAGGGACAGACATTCATGTCCATAAGAAGACTTGGTTCCACTGTATCATGAGCATATAATGGACAAGCACCAAGGCAATTTGTTTTTAAAAAAAAAAAAAAATCAGAGAGCTATTGTAGTTAAATAAAGTGATTTAAATCCACCGTCAAAACAAGATGCATACAACAGTGGTTACTGCCGGAAATTAATGTAACAATGGTAGAAGAGATAAGGTTTGAAACTATATCACAAAAGTGCTCCATTTCACTCAAATGCCATACAGTATCAATTAATAAGAAGAATATATCACAGAATGCCAACCAGGTGGTTGAAACAGGCATATGAAAAAAAAAAAATTATTGTTTGAGCTGCATTGATTTTATGGAACTTTACCTTAAAAATTACAAATGGAAGAAAAAGGAGAAACTTAACTGCCCTCAAATTTTTTCATTCTCCGTTTTCATTGGATGTTTCTTATTGCTCTGCACCAGAGTTCAACTCCACCGATGTATCATTAGACTGTAAGGCCTCTTTAGTTTTTAGTTTAACAAACTGTCTACTAGGTGCTATTCGAAGTGGTCTTCTCATAAATGTCTGCAAGAAAATGACTTCTAAGAACGTTCTTCACTTCAATGCAGTCTGTTATGATTTGAATAACATAATACAGTAAAGAAAAACAAATGTCCCCAAACAAGAACCTACACATTAGAAATACGAATAACTCGGTGCAATTAACATCTATTACCTTCCCTTGCAAAGTAGACAGGGCCGCCTCAGCTTCTTTCTTGGTTTTAAAGGAGGCAAATCCATACCCAGAGGACCTTCTTGGATTATCATGAAAAATAACTTCAGCAGAAACGATTTCCCAGCCTTCTGAATTAAAGAACTCCTTAAGATCTTTAGCCCTGGCTTCATATGACAGATTTGCTATAAACAAATTAAACGTTGGGACTGGCTTGGGATGCACAGGTGGCGCAGGCTTCTTTTTTGCCTTTGCATAATTCATTTTCAAAGTACGACCCTCAAATTCCTATAAGAAAACTCATCATAATATAAACATCTCTTAGCGGACAAAATGGCAAAAAACGAAAAAACACCATGCATACACATTATATATTTGCTAAGAAAATAAAGGCAGGTAAGGTAAATTTGTCTTAAATCATATAAATTTTGGTGTAATCAAGTGCATAAAACACAGATAAGTGAGAAATATACACATAAACTTGATTACGCACGCAGTTTCCTTATTTCCCTATGTCTCAGCTGATGAAAGTCAATTGATTAGAACTTCAATTCAGTCTAATTTCCACGTCTTTTTAAAAAACAAATACAAGGAAAATTAGAATTTCACGGATAAAGTCATAAACGAAGAAAGCTTTTATATGCGTACATATGATTCAAGATTATTGAGAGCAGCAACAGCCTCCTCAGGAGAACCCATAGTAACAAAAGCCAAACCTCTGTTCCTGGTCTTGTTATGCATCGAAAGCTAAAACCACAAGAGCAAGACAACACAAAAACCAAAACCCATGTCAGAAAAGCAACATTATTTCCCACAACAAAGTACAAAAAGAAGAATAAAGACCTCAACATCAAGGACTTTTCCGTGCTTCTCAAACAAAGAACGAATGTCTTCAACGGTAGCAGTCCAAGGTACATTCTGGGCAAGCAATCTGGTTTTGGAATATTCTTCTTCTTGTTCGGTATTTGTAGTTTCAGTGGAGACATTAAGTGAAGAATCAACAACTGAGTTTTGAGTGGTGGCAGAGAAATGGACAGCAAAATGACTCACTTTTTTGGGCTTAATGAGAAATGAGTGAGCTTGAGAAGGAGACCAAGAAAGAGAGAGATAATTGATATTAAATTGATTTTGTGGTTTATGCAGAGGGAAAAGAGAGGCTACATGCAACTGGTGTTGTAGGTGTTCAGTGGAGATGTAAGTGGTTGAAGGGAAACAGTGAAGACGAAGAAGTGCCATACCAGTTTGATTTCAGAGAGGGAGCAAGAGCAACGTGTGAATTTGGATAAGGAGGTTTAGGAGATTTTTGGGGGCCAAAAATATCCAGAGTCAGAGACACTGGACAGTTGACACTAACTAGTAACAATAGTAGTCATTTTGGAGTGAAATAAACCGAGTGAACGACGTCGTTTCAAAACATTTATATCTTTCATTTGCTTCAGACGTCTAGATGTCTTTTTAATTGACAATTCAAACACAGCCTAAGAAGGGTTGAGTGCTTCATTGTTCTGGGATAACTAATCCATTGAGATGCATCCCAAAAGGCAAAATTCAAATCACCCCATGTTCTGTAAGGATTAGAGATGATGCACATCGTTATCAACATTAAGTATCCAAGCTGGTACCAAAACCCATAGATAAGACAATAGTTTTTAGTATCGAATGCTTATTGGTCATCAATTTCAGGTTCCAAAAATGAAAAAAAAAAAAAATGAATTTTCTTTCTGTGCGGATTCTCTAGGTTAATATAGTTCCAATAATAATACTGAGATCTTGGGACATTGAACAATCTGATCACTGCATTGGTTGAAACTGTTTTGTTTTACATAAAGTCAAGAGTAATCTGGACAATTCTATAAAAGACTAAAAAGAAAATGGTGAAGGAAAAATCCTTACACTCAGCAAATTAGTTTGAGACATCTTACAAAAGGTACAAATTTTGTGGCTCCAGAAAAGCTACCTTTGAATCCAATTCTAACACCATCCTGAACATAATCAACTTCCAGGAGGAAGTAAAGAAATTAGGACACTATTACGAATCTTTGCTATTACTTCTTATGCATTCTTGAGTCTGGAGAGTTATATATCAATGGTGACAGAGGTTGTCTTGCAGCTAGATCCAGATCAAAGTCAATCTTCTTCTCCACCGGGCTACTCATTTTAGGACTTGATTTTCGCTTGTTTGACTGTCAAAAAGGAAGCATCTCAAACATTATATAACTAATGGCTGTTGTTTATCAAATGTAATAACACACGCACATAGTTCTGCCTCTCTGCTTACCTTGGCAGATGCACTGCTAGTATGCTTTCCACCAGAATCATTAAGGTTCCTTTCTCTATGGAGTTGCCTCAATAACTTCTTGCTCTCCGCATTCAATATTTTGTTTTCTTCATACAGCAATTTCACCTATATGTTTCAGATCAAAGTAAGTCACACTGAGGATGTGAAGTCAAGCAAATACACATTAGATAATAATAATAATGCTCACCTCCTCTTCAGCTCTATCAAGGTTCACCCTAAGATGTTCTTTATCCTTCTCAAGTGTCTTAACTACAGCACCTAGTGATAGAACCTTTTGAGTTGATGGCTTCAAGCTGCCACCGCAAAAGAAAATATTTCAGAAAACAAATTAAAAGATGTTTCTTATATCTGTTGTACAGTTTGACTTAATGCGAGTTTACTTAAAAGTTTCAACAATTGAATACCAAAATCTCATTAACCTAGACAACCAAATAATGGCAACAACAAAAAATGGGCAGAAGCTCCTCACCTTTTCCACATTTTCAGCAATGATTGACATGGTTCATGTCCACTATTTGCCTCCAAGAATGCATGACCAGACATAAGATCATCTTTACTGACTAATGTTGCTAAAACAGACTCGAGTAAATTTTCTTCCACGGCAGTGTCCTCAGCAGAAGAATCATCCTTTTAATGGAAAATATTATACACTCGTCAAACTTTACTCCATGGAATTGAACCATCTCATATTTTCATATAAAACTAGAAAAAGTAACGAAGAACATAAAGGAGAACTAGAGTCCAATAGTATATGTTCTCAACCAATCGCAAACAAAAAAATAACTCACAAAAGTCTCTAATTAACAGTTACTCAGCAACGCACAGTATCAACTAAAGCAAGTCTAACGAAAACCTGTTCCTGTGCTATTATTACGTATATATTCTTTTACAGGGGGTGAAAACCTTCATTCATGTTACAAAAAATAGCTTCATTCCTATAAGCTATTAGGTCCATATAATTAAGTGTCACAAAAAATGATAATACTCTTAACTGTCGGATAAGTTGACATATCAGCAATAAATTAGCGTTGAACTTTCAGAATAACAAACAAGTATGCAATTAAATGAACATAATTCACTGCCACAAACAAGTAAAATTCATGGGAAAGGGAAGATAATAAGATTCATGAAAATAGAAAATTCTATAAATTCATAATATATTGACAAACTACAGTTAATGAATTTAAATGCAATTAAAATCTCAGATAGTTTTCTATATTTATATTTCTGAATTGTTAAGACTGAGTGCCATGTAAAACAATTATTAACGCGAGAGATATTACCCCACGAATTTCATACTGGTGCTTGTAAAATTCTAATTCATCCAACAGCTGAGCCAACTGGACCTCCAAATCATGAACCCTAGTTTCAGCCTCTTTAGCCCTCTCATCCGCTTCGTTTCCAAAATCCATCAAAGCCTCTCGATCATGATCGTACAGCGAACATTCTTTCTCCCACCTACTGCACTCACTCAACAATCTCTTACACTCCTCCGCAAGCCTCTGGTTCTCCTCCACAAACCTCTTCACAGCCTGCGCGTTCATACTCGCCTCCGCCTAACAAAATCACCAAAAAAGAAATTTAATAGCAGTCGCAAATAATACGTCATATACAAAAATTTAGATTGAAGGATCTACGAACCCTAGCAAGATCAATAGTTTGATCCTTTTCTTTTACTTTGGAGAGTAAAAGAGAGTACTGATTCCGAAGTCGTTGAAGCGATTCTTGAGAGGCCAAAAGCTTTAATTGGAGATTTTCTTGGGAAATTGGGAGACCTAGAGTGTTGTCAATGGATTCTTTTATGTAATTATCGATTCCTTGAGGGAGTTCCATTGGAAATGAGAACCCTAGATTCGCTTTGGAAGTGAATATTTTCTGTGTATTGTTTGAATTCGATTTGAAAGAAAACAGAGGGGCTATTTGCTAGCCGTTATAGCGCGTTTTTAAATGTAATCTTTTAGTTTGAGGAAACGTGGCATGGCTTGGTTTGGATGGCCCACGTTCCATGAGGCTTTGCGTTGAGTCTCATTGGCCCAACACAGCCCATTCCACTTCAGTTATCAGTGATAATTAGTTCAAAATATTGATTTTTAAATTGGATTTTTTAAAAAAAAAAAATTGTTAATATAAGCATTTCTGATATATTATAGGATTTTCATTTTTTTGTGTTTTGGTTTATCTAATTTAATTTTTAATTCATTGTATAATCAAGTTATTTCAATTTAAATTTGCCCACACTATCTAATAGTTGGTTTTGGCTATAATACATATACGTAAAAGTAAATATCACAAGTTTTACATTTTTAGTTTATAAGTCTTACGTTATAAGTTTACAAAATCTACGATGCATTGTGTACGGACATGTATTGTGGCAAAACCCTAAAGGGGCGTTTGGTTGGGGGTTAAGTGAGATTACTAGAGTAATGTCATCTAAGTATACTTTCATTGCAATTCAGTACTTGAGTTAATAACATTTTCGTCTTGAGATCAGGAGAAAATAACTATGGTCCAGTAAAATCAAAAAATGTCATTGTAGTCCCTATCAAATGACTACCGTTACAAATATTAGACGGTGTAACGACACCATTAACCATTGTCATTTAATTACACTCTTCTCTTTAGTCTTTACAATTTAAATAAAATCAACCTTACAATTATAAACTAAATTTTAAAATAATGATATATATTATATGAATAAAAGTTTAAAGGAAGATAAAAATAAAAATCCAAACCTCACCACAACCCCCACCTCGTTGAGCAGTTGAACTACACTAAAATATCACCACCATTGACAGTTCACCGCCATCTCAGTAACAGGCTCCACCAACATCTCCGAAAAAGAAACATCGAGCAGCCTCTCATACCCACAGAACCACGACTCCATTATCCAATCGACTGTCATTTCTTCTTAAAAAAATAAAATACCAAACAAGTTAATAAATTATGGGAACACCCTTTCCTTACAAATCAGTTTTTTTTTTTTTTTTAAGATGAGTTCTACTGAGTTGTGGTTATTACATGGTGTAAGGTGATGTCAGATAAAAATTTAAATTATTAATTAAAATAAAATTTGTATACAACAATTAATCAAGCTTCATCCATTAATATGTGTTTTACATATTGCAAAAGAAATAGAAAGCCTTGGAGTGGTGTTCTTGTCTGAAGGATCGCTTCATAGGTTTGTTCCATTGGCTTGATCGATGGGATTGGGATCTATGAGTGATTTGACCTGTCTTTCCACCTCTTCCACCTGCTTTTATAAATTCAAAATGTTAGCATTAATTAATTACTATATATATGATCTAATATGCTTACAAAATGTAAGCTACCGGAGGCCGCCGATAACAAAGGCACTCCAACGTGATAGCAGGACGTAAAAGAAATTAGAAAAAGAAAAATGTACTACAATTTGAAACACAGTACAGTACAATTTTATTAAGAGATAACATACTGTACTGTACGTGTGTTTCAAACACAGTACAGTACAGTACAATTTTAAGAAGAGATAAGATACTGTACTGTGTTTCAAATTGTAGTACATTATTCTTTTAACATAGAAAACTAATTTGTCAAACAAGTGGGTGGGAATTCGTTTGTATAATAATAGTTAACGTAAGAGACTATATGAATGAGACGCACAACCTAATAAGTAATAACCCGAGCTTCACTAGGTACAACAATCAAGAGCAAAACTATTAAATCAAATCAAATGCATGGCAATCATCAAGAAACTAACAAAACTGTCAGTGATCAACAAACCCACCTAAGATTAATGTTAATCCATTAATTAACTACGACAAGGAAACAATTGGTATCAGGTAAAAACCTTATCGATGAATTCTTCAACTAGACGAGCATTCTTAGCTGCTGTTTCGGCTACCTTTTCGACATAAATAACAGCATCCTTGAGTTTCCCTCCTTCAGGTAGATCATCGGCTACATCTTCCGCTACCTTCTCCACTCCGTCAGCAACCTTTTCTACAAACTCTGCAACATCTTCTACTGTCTCCACAACTGTTTGAACTTGCTCTATAATATAAATCAGAAATAGAACTCATTAACCATGAATTGATATAGAATCATTTCAAATGTAATTATCATAACTCAAGCCAGCAAATATGCATTTTAAATATTTTCATATCTAGTTTTTAATGCTTACTTCCGATTATTTCGAATGGCCCCCAGTTGTTCGTCCAAAAGGGTAGAATTGTTGATATTACTATTCCTAGAAGGAACATTTTTCTGCGCAAACTACATGTAACGTATCAAAGTGAATTATTAGAGAACAGATACAAACAAACTAGAACATCCACCTGAAAAATGTAGATTTTACATACCATGAACCAGGAGAAGGATCAGGAGGCGAGGATCCTGGTTGCACACCGCTGTAGACCACCATTTTCCTGACATTATTGAAAGATCGCAAGCTCTGCTTTCTCGGTAAATCATATTTATTCTTGTATATTGGGATGACCGAAACATGAGCAGGATGGGAAATGATAAACGTTTGAAATAGTTGGCAAGACCGAATATGTCCTTCTGTATAGCACTTGCTTTGAGCAGTTGATCCTATTCTCGACAAGGCCTGTACCATATCCTCTAAATTTCCTCTTTTTGCTGTCAATCAATGAAACCTTGCAATAAGATGGGATTCTGATGTTGATGAATCACAAGTTACTTATACAAAGAACTGCCCGTCGAATAATACTGGGACATACATAATTCTAACAGAAGTTAAGAGTACTTAACTGTGAAAGGGTAATACAAGTATTGCGCACTCAAGATTGGGTTCTTATAGTTTTTAGAATAATATTTTTAAAAAAAGTTAAATTGGGCGGGTATTACGATGTAGAATTTAAAAATTAACAAAAATACCCTTTATGTTTGTTTATTTACTAAACACCTCCATAATAAAATATTCAAAGTTAACAAAAACACCCCTAACCCACTCATTAAATACGGACAACCAACCACCACCGCCGGAGTTGCTGTATTGGTGCATGACCGGCTGGATCTTGCCAGTCGTGCACCGATATGGGCTTTTCCAGCCAGATCTATGACTAGATCTAGCCATTAACGACCAGATCTACGACTAGATCTAGCCATTAACGACCAGATCTGGCCGCATTTGGTCATTAATGATGGCCAAAGATACGGCCGTCGTTGACGATTGTCTACTACCATAGATCTGGCTTTTTTCAGCCAGATCCACCTTGGATCTGGCCGAAAAATGCTAGATTCATGCACTATCGACCAGATTCAGCCGGTAGTGCGTCATTACACTAGATTCCGGCCAATTTTCGATAATGGTGGTCGGAATCTGGTAAATATGGGTTGCTGGGATGTTTTTGTTAATTTTTAAAAAAAAATTAGAACTGTTTAATTAAATTAACAAATTTAAGGGGTTTAAAATAAATTATATAATTTATAATAATATTTTGATAATAAGTGAACCAAACACAAATTTTTTTTTTTAACTTTACCCAAACTATTTACCAAACGGAGCCATTATGTGACTGACTTTTTCGTCAATATACCTCTTTTCTCTTTCTCGGCGTTTGGGTCACAGCTTGATATTTTTTTTGTTCTCAGAAGACTTCCTCCGCTTATAGTCTGAAAACAAAGAAACAAAACTTCTTTCATTGCGTGAGTTACATGGAGTGCTTTGTTTGTTATGGGGATCTCATTTATGTGACAATCTACACCTGGATTAGACTTTTATGATTTTATTTCCTTGAATTATTTAGAATTCTTAGATGGGTTTTGAGCAGTTTTGTTGGTTTTTGTGTGTAGCTTGGAAGAAGATAGGTTTTTGTTGGAATGTGCAGCCATGCAGGTAATTTTAGTGTAGATGTATAGCTGAATTTTCTGAGGGATTGTAGGTGAAAAGTGGTTGATACCTGGGAATTCTGGGTTTCTAAAGACTGGGGCTTTGTTTTGGTTCATTATTTTGGAAGCTTTTAGAATAGTCTTTTGAAAAACTAATGTTAGGTACAGTGACGCTTTGCATCGTTAAACCAAACGAGTGTCATCTAAGTCAAATGAGTCACATAGCATGTTAAAAAACATTTTGTTAATGAATAATTGTTCATCAAATATCATTTGAAATAGATTTTTGTCCATACAAAAATGATAATGAACTCCTATCTATATTATATGGATAGGAATAAACAAGAGTTCATTTATTATAGACGGGAGTCCATCTATAAAGACACTCGTTTATAGTTTAAATTAAAAAAATTAATATTAAAAATTATGATACTTGTTTATAATATATGAACGGATATTCATTGTTTAAATTAAAAAAATATTTAAAAACAAAAATATTAAACTTTCATATATTATAGACAGACGTCCCTCCTTAATGGAAGGAAATCCTGGACGTCTAACTATTGTTTAAATTAAAAAAAAAAAATTAACTCAAAAAGTATTATGGACGGACATCCCTCTTAGAGGACGCGCATCCATTTCTATACTATGATTAAAAATACAAATTAGGTCTAAACATTTTGGTCCCAAAAACATTTTAAAAAACATAGGATCATATCTGCTGCTCTTCTTCTTCGTCTTCGTTCTTCGTCTGCCGCTCTTCGTCTTCGTCAATACCATCTGCCATTGTTATTGTAAGTTATTGAGTTAATTTGGCTTCTATTCATCATTTTTAATTGGTTTTGATTGATGATTGAGGTTGATTGAGCTGTAAAGAACTCAATGAGATGCTAGGAAAAAGTGAAATTTAAACTATAGATTGCTGCCATAATTCTAAACTTTCATACGAAGGAATTGATTCAATGCCAGCTTCTGGATATGGGTTTTTTTCTGTCTTCACAATTAGTGATATGCCCACTTTTAATCAATGAAGTTGAATATCAAGCAATGAGAAAGTTTTGGAAATCAAGTCAT